GCATATTTTTCTTTTTCTTTTTTTTTTTTTTTTTATTACTATTGAGAACGTATTATTCCGATCACATAAGCGATCAAGAATAATCCTCTAACTCGTCACAAGGTGACCGTAAAATCCTCTCGTAAAATTGAATCGCAAAAGTTGAAAAAAAAAATGGTTCTATCTACCTTCGAAACAGAACTTTAATATCCGAAGATAGGGAAAAAGAGTATGTATTTTTATTTATGTACCTCTCTTTGATGCTTTTCCAAAAGTTTGATAAACGCCCACGATACTAATATTTCCTGTCGTCGATCCTCGAACCAGCAAAGTGCTTTTCTCTAGCCAATGCCTATGACAGCCTTTAGCAAAACTTTGAAAATTCCTTTCAACAAGGTGAAGACATTTTTCTTAAAACGTGCACAACTCGACCTTTTCTTTCATTCCTCCCTCCCTCACCGTATTTTTCACAAATAATACAAATAAAAAGTAGAAAAAAAAAAAGGAACTTATATACGTACCGTCTCATTTATGTACGTAGTAAATGCATACAAGGTGTCCCAGTTATTTTCTGCAAAAAATTTTACCATCATATTTTAGAAGAGAAAAAATAAGAAAAAAAAAAAAAACATATAACACACATAAACGAGGGCTCTTAAATTTATAATTAAAATATACGAAATGATAATTATTCGATGTTTCGTCGACGTAAAATAAGAATACTTTGTTGATATTTTTACGAATTAATTCGCGAAATTAATTCAAAAGACTCGTAAAGCTATTTATTAGAATTAAAAAAAAAAAATTAACAAGAAATTAATAATGCAATATAATTCTATTTAACGTAGATATATGCAAGTCTTATGTTCATAACAAGGAAAACAACATTTTGAAATGGAATTATGATTTGAACCGAGATAATCTATATCTATGTTTTATCAAAACAAAAATTTCAATTCTGTTGTTATAAGTTTTTAATAAAACTTATGTTTATATTATATAACACATTTATTTTTTTCTTATTATAGAAATTTGTAACAAAAAATTTCCACGATAAAATATGATTGTAAATATTGCGGGTCAAAAAAAAAAACAGGAACACCTTGTACGTAGAAAAAAATATATACACAACATTGTATTATATATATATATATATTTCCAAAGATTTAATATTATATATATATGAATATATTATATATATGATACAAAATAATAAGACGTAGTAGCAAACCAGAAACGATTATAAAACGCGGTTAACCGTTATCTAATTGATAGGTACGGTCCATTAATTCCATGTTACAGAGAGGGTGACGTTTAGAAAACTGCGTATTACAACTATAACATTACAAAAGAAATAGAAAGAATCGATTTGTAAAGATACTCTTTGTGCATTTCCTTTTTCCGTGTGACGTAAAGAAATTATTAAAAAATAAAAAGCGAGAGAGAGAGAGAATGGCTCGATTAGACAAGAAGAATGAGAAAAAAAGATAAGAAAATGTAAGAATTATCGATCAAAATTAATTCCCTGTCCATGCTCCCAAATCATTCTCTATTTCCTTGTATTTCATGAATAAATGTCGACGACAACATCAGCGAGATGCAACGACCAGAGGCTACGTTGTCACAAGGTACGGAATCGCATTTTATAACGCAAAAGGAGCTCAGTCCCACTTTTACCGCAGTTCACATGTTGATTATATTTGTCCAGTGAATATTCACTTTTTCAGAAAAAACCTCCCTACTTTTCGGAAAAAATTTTTGCAACGAACATACTGTTCTTTTTTTATATTAAGAGTAGAAAAAATGATTACAGTATAAAAAAAATCATACGACATAATATATCTTAACTTTCTATGACTTTATTTTTGCTTGTGGATGCATCAATGCACGCGCCAGGTACTATTGTTCACTTGATTGTATACTAATGTAACTCAATTTTTCTTTTTTTTTTATCGAAATGTTTAATATCTTACAACAGTAGTGACATTTTGATGACTTTAAGTTAGTTCATTTATATGCAGAATAATAAAAGAGATAGATTGGTTAAAAAAAAGAATAATAAATTGCAGCAGAATCCAAAAAAGTTTAGTAATTTATTATAAAACCTAGGATTCCATTGCATATATACATATACATGTATATTAGATACTTATATTTATGTAATAATACGAAGCTATTTGCTGTTTGACCAAAATTTACATTGTAAATTCTGTGTATTGGTCCAAGTAAATTTTGTCAGCGCAGGAACTCGCTATGCTATCGATCTTGTAGCGTCGAGTGCTGAATAATGCAAAAAGTGTGTAAGGTGGATGATGATGAGGAGGAGGCATTGGGCTGGTTGGGTGGGGTACTAGTTTTGAATTGAACGTTCAATTTTATTTGGCCGCGATAACGTCATTTATTTTTTTGTATCGATTTTACTTGATATCTATCTATMCTATACTTTACAAAACATACACCACTTTTTCTCTTTACATTTACATATGCACATATGTATATACATGTATATGTATATCAACTGATGATCTTTTTTTACTCCCCTTTACCGATTTCAAAGACGAACGTTTCTCATTTATTCGTTTGGTCTCTTTTTACCAACAACACAGTCCCTACATCAATCAACCAGTCTCTCTCTCTCTCTCTCTCTCTGTCTTTCTTACACATATACACACACATACAGTTTCTCTCTTTCGATCTCCTACACACATATGAAGATCGTACCAAATTTTCAACAAGGTATCCTCCATGTAACAATGCTGGCAAAACGAGATTAGCGATGTACTCGGTCCAGCGTACATGGTCCATTAGTTGCGATTGAATTACATCCGGTCCTTGCAAGAAGGAAGACGTAAATTCTCATTTATACGAACAAACGAACGAATGAACGAGCGGATACATTCAAGAAAGAAATTATACGATGTTAAGAAAAAAGGACAATTACGAATAAATTCTTAAACGATGGAACTTCAATACCTCGAAAGAACGGACCTTAGATCTTTCTTTTTTTGCCTGTTATGAAGGAAATGAAAGGGTGAAGAATAATAATAATAATAATAATAATAATTATTATTATTATTATTATTATTATTATTATAAAAAACATTTAAATTTAAATACTGTAAGAAATAAAAAATAGAAAAGAAGATTGCACACACAAAAAGAAATAAAGCATTTGCACTGCCTCGAGTATATATTGCGTTAAAAATACAATCTTCTCTCACGACGAAAGTACTTACAATTAGTAATGAAATCCTCCCTTCTACTCTACGAGGGTGTCGATATTGCGGTCGAATCGATTTATTGATCGATCGGACCACACCGATATTATTTCCATGTAAATTAAATCTAGAATGGTCGAACGAAATGCATGCAATGAAATAGTTTTGTGGTTGGCAATTGTGAAATATTTTCAATACGAGACCATCCTCTTTTTGGTTTACTCTGTATCGTTCTTGAAACCAAAAGTAAATCGTTTTATAGATCAAGAGAGATGTGGAATTCTATTAAAATTTCTTCAGTTTTCCTCCCTTTCTCAGTTTCTCTTATTTTTCTTTTTTAATTTCTATTTTTCAACTAATTCAAAATGGAATTTCCACGGTGTTATCGCGTAATTGAACTCAGTCGCGTCCGCAAACGTACCGGAACGTGTCACCGTCCCCATAAATCACGGTATAATCGACGTTTTAACCGCAAATACGGATAGCACGAAGCGTACCGGAGTGCTACGTTTCAGTGAATAATTTCACCAACCGTATGCTCTCTCAGTTTACGAACTTCCAATCTCCTGTCTAGTCTCTCTCTCTCTCTTTTTCTCTCTCTCTTTTTATATATATATACATATATATCCTATTTTCTTCCTTTGTAATGTAATTGAACTAAAATTGTTGATAGAGAATAAACCACAAATTAATAATGGGAAATGAACTTTTTCCATTGAAAATATATACTTTAGAATTTTTACAATTAGGAATATTTTCAATGTATATAATTTGATAACGGTGCTAGTTAATATCAACTATTTCTGTCGACAAAAATTTTCAATAGCTGTATACTCGAGATAAAGGTGATTCAACCGAGTTAAAATCACGAACGCATTGTGCTTTCAAAATCACGAATAACGAGTAACATAATACGCACAGTCTGGTACAATGGCATGGCTGTTCGTCGCTGATACGACTGAATCGAGAGTCGGGTATAATGCAATTTCCTGAAACAGCGTCCGTAGATACCAAACGTGCAAAAGAGAAAGAAACCAAAAGAGAGAGAAAGAGAGATAGAGAGAATGAGAATAGAGGGGAGGAATCCGAGTAATATTCACTTCATTACAAATCCGTGCGATTCCGGGCCAAGTTTGTAAAGGGTTGCACAGCTGCGCATTTTCCTTGCATTGTGCAGCCATCGGCTTGCTCGATGTTTTCCTTCCATTTTTTTTTTATCTTCCTCCTTTTGCCTAGTTTCCTCTTCGTTGCAATATTCTAACGTAGTTATCGTTGAAATGAATTTACATTGAGGTACTGTTGAAATCAGATATATATATATATACATAGGTACCTATATGTATCACATACATAGATTTATATTTCCTTACTTCAGCAATTTGTTGAAAATTTGTTTATCTAGATATAGGATTCTTTTTTCTTTTTTTTTTTTTTTTCTAAGGAAAAAAGAAAATGAAAAGTTATTTTATTCAACAAATATTATTTAAACTTTAAATGTTGTCTCCGAAATGTTAGTCAATAAAAATATTCTTAATTTAAATTCATTGATAAAACTATAAGTCAATGATCAATTAACAAACATTCAACGCCATCTAATACTGATATTCTCAACCAACATTGAAACTGCTTTTGATAATGAACTACAGTTTTTATGTTATCAATAAATATATAATGTATATGATGCATATTCTGATATAGCTGATGTATTTCACATTTTTTACATTTGATTATAAATATTTCTAAAACATAGCTATTTTATAATACAAAAGTTTTATTTTTAATATTTAATAAATAACTTTATATATATAATTAACAATAAAATTCACACTTGGTAATACTGTTCACAATTAACAATGAAATTCACACTTTGGTAATACTTACTATGTAAAGTACATAAAAACTTTACAACTTTATAGAAAAACTGAAAAAAATATTATAGATAGATGTGTTATACATTATTAATATTTCCAGCATAAGACTATAATCTTCTATAATTATCACGTTGTTGCGATTGAGATGCTGTTAAAGTTGAATAAATAAAAGGTAAAATTGAAGCTAAAGCTAAGCAAAGACTAATTACTGGTCGATACCATACCCATGCCAGACCGATTACTAATAAACTAATGGACATGGAAACAGACATTGTTAATGACTCAATCGCTATTATTCCACATAAGAATGTAGAATTAAGTATTACTGTTCTCAATATATTTGCCAAACAAGTAGCTGCCAAAAATAGAACCAACCATCCAAGTCCTCTGAAATTAATTATACATTTTGTTAAAAAAAAAGAATGTCTGTTAAGAAATAATTTTATAAGAATAAGTGAAGAAGACACTTAAATAAAATATAAAAATATTTAAATAAATTAATTATTATAAAAGATTACCTGATACTCCAAGTTCTCCAATAATTGTGAAAATGTTCTAAATGAAACATTTCATCCACCGTCATTTTGTGTTTTCTTTGAAGTAAAATATCTTCTCCATGTGATGTGGTATAAGGAACAATAATTCCTTTTTCCATCATTCCAACAACGGAATAAACATCACCTTGTTTCCCTGCATAAGAAAATTGTATTCTAATGTCTCCAACCTATAAAACCAAAAGAAAACAATAAATATATTATTCAAACACTAAAATAATAAAATATTTATTATGGAGATACCTGGGGATTCCATAAGTCTGTGCTATGGTAATACAATCCAGAATGCATTTTGATATCTTTTCGTTCTGGTCTTTCATCGCTGGTAATCTCAATAAATTCATTAAATTTCTTCTTTAATTCAGATCCAAGAATAAAAGCTCCAATTTTAACTTCATTAGCAGTTTGTATTTGACTTTTAATTGGCATTTCTTTTGGATTATGGTGACCAGTTCTAATATAGAAATGATCAGAATCCACAAGCTTATCCTTCCATTCTGTCGTATAATAGTAATGTTTGTCTTCTTCTGTCACTCCGCCAAAACTAAAATGGTATTTCAATTTAATAGTATTTCTACTTACATTAAAGAATATTTATAATCAATTATATTTCATTGATCAAATACAATACCTTCTTTCTTCTTCAATTTCAACCCATTGATACATCTGTACTCTTCTTTTTAATTTAACACATGACACAATAATGCCATAATCAGGTTCAGTCAATGGCTCCGATATAGATAATTGTCCTGAAATATGTATTAGTCGGCCTTCAAATTCGGGTAACAATTTAAATGGATTTGGAAGTACTGCCACATTTCGTAAAGCTTCGTCTAAAGAATATGCTACTTTTACTGCTCTTCCCTGAGAACAACGTAAAGGTATTCATTATACACACAAGAAATTTGAATATAAAATATGATTTACAAATTCATACTTCATTCCAAAACAACAGACACATGCCAGTTGCAAATAAAATAGATCCAATAATTGCAGTTAACCATGATTCTCTAAACTGTTCTAAAACCGACATTGGTACATTTATAGGTGAAGGTTGTCTTCCATTAATCCGATTTGGGTGTAATGGTTCAACATTTCCTCTTTGTTGTTGTCCATTTTGCTAAAAAAAAAAAGATAATATGTTAACATTGACAGGAAAGTGATAAAAAGAAAATATACAATGAGAATTACACTATTGTATAAATATTATTAATAATTACATTTGCACGATACATCTCCAATATTCATAAAACATGATAAACATTCGACGCAATTTTATTTAACATTCAACGTTTTTAAGGAAAATTAAAGGTCAAAATATTATGCATATCATGTATGATATACATACACAGAAAGAAGACAGGTATACATATTTATAAATTTCTCCTGCAGGATCAAAAATGAAATGTCAACAATTTGGAATTTTATTTGGTCAAGTTTTTGTTTTTTATCCAATCACATCCGATCATATGTTTGAATCTTGGGGGAAAAGCACATTTTTTCATTGGTTGTTATTGTTGTTATTGCGATGCAACATACTTGCATTAGATGATGCACAATTAAAACAATTATTCGATATTTTATATTTATTTATATTTCTCAAGAAATCTTATTAAGATTATACATAAGAATACAAAAGAAATTGTATCAACAATAATCTAGTAACATATTGAGTACCATTTGAAATGCGCTAGGTGGCGACAAAAGCAATTTTAAATGTCAGTTTATCTTACGACATATTTTGTATAATCATAGGAATAAAAAGTAACTCCTGCTGTCATCAGACAGTGTTCAGTTGACCATACTTCGTTGAACGTGTAGTGAGTGAAGAAGTAGAGATTTAACCGGTTAATTTATTTCAATTGGTACTTAATTAAATATTCTAGTCATGAATGTAACATAACAAAACATTTTTATATGAGATAATAAAATTTTCGTTGAAATAACATTCTTGACATGTAATATTTTAAATGTATAATATTATATTTTACGTTAAAAATGTATTTCCAAATAATGCAGTATCAATAATGCTTAGTAGTATAAGAAATTAAATGATTGATATTGAATTAAAAAATGGTAATTTAATACGAATCTGTTATAATAATTTCATATTGAATATATATAATTTATATTAAATTGTTTTGTTTTTGTTCAATTTATCAGATTTTATCTGTGTTTATCTTTTTATCTTGACGATATATAAGAAGTTTTGTGATAATCTTTTAATTTACAATTTATTTATTAATTTTTCTGCATAACTTTTAAAACTTTTGTTTATAAATTATTAATAATATATTTCCAATGAAATATATGTTAAAGTATATAATATTTTTTATTGTTTTAAATATATAAAAACAATCTATATATTTCTAGGTATAAGAAAAATAAATAAAATATTTAATATTAGATTTTCTAAGAAATACAGAAAATAAACGATATATTTTTCACAATGCATTGGAGAAAGATATCTCTCATTCTATGTATGTTTGGAATGCTAACAAACTTCAGACCATCAGAATCATTTATAACTGATTACTTAACAGGACCATGGAAGAATTTTACAATAACAGAAGTTTGTGAATACAATGAAAATTTAAATCTATTAATTAATACTTACTCTCTCAAACAGTTTTAATGACAAATATATTATTAACTTTCAGGTAAATCAAGATATATATCCAGTTAGCACATATTGTTACTTTTTAACTTTAGTTATAATATTTTTGATAACTGATTTTGTAAGATATAAGCCTGTTATTATACTGTGTTCCATTTCTGGATTTATTACATTTTTTGTACTAATACTTGCAAAAACTGTAATAGTAGTTCAGGTCGTTGAATTCTTTTATGGCCTGTTTCTTTCTTCTGAAGTGGCATATTATACGTACATCTATGCAAAAGTTGATAAAGCGCATTATCAAGAAGTCACAGGTCATACAAAAGCAGCTACCCTTGTTGGACGATGTATGGGTGGAATCATAGCACAATTAACATCTTCATTTCATATCTTAGATTACCATCAGTTGAATTACCTCACCGCTGCAGGTATATTAACAAATTTTAATAATAACTATTTCAATCTATTATGAACAATATTATATATCAGCAGACCTGAAATTTATATCACATTAAATATATTTTTTATTATTTTTTATATATCTTGATAACTTCGATATAATAAGATTAAATCTATGTCTCTTCTTCTATCACAGATGATAAATCGATGATAGATAAGTTGATTGACGAAAAAAAAATATATATATATATATATTTTTTTTTTCAGCGTTTGGACTTGCCACATTATGGACATTTTTTTTACCATCCGTGGGAGAATCTATTTATTTTCATTCTTCAACAATTCACAATCAAAATATTCAATCCTCATCATCAACGGATAACGTGAAAACGCTTGAAGATAATAATTGTCAAATGCTTAATCTTAAAAAAAAATTAAACAATAATCCTGAGGTGATAAACGTAAACTCTAGGTCTTCCAAGATAAAACATGCTTATGCGCTATTATGGAAACATTTTGTAAATGCATATACACATGGTGACGTCGTAAAATGGTCCATGTGGTGGGCATTATCAACCTGTGGCTATTTACAAATAACTAGTTATGCGCAGCTCGTATGGCAAACGACTGTTAAATCTTACGACGAGATTTATAATGGCGCAATTGATGCCGTTTATGCAGTCATTGGTAAAAAAAAAAAATATATATATATATATTATCAATTTTATATTAGTATCTATAAATAGTAGATATTAATTAATAACAGTATATTATTGTATGCATAAAATTATTTATAAAATAAGAATTCTCATTAGGTGCTTTGACCGTTTATACTGTTGCTAAAATACCATTGAATTGGCCACTGATAGGAGATATTATGGTAACAATTTTTGCATTTATGGAAGGTGCTTTAATCATATTATGTTCCTATAGTTATAATATTTGGGTACAATATGCCGCATACGTAGTATTTGGAGTAATTTATCATACTATGGTCACTGTTGCAAGGTAATTCTTATTTAGATTTGAATTATTTATATAATTCGTATATTTGATATTTTGTTATTTTATAGCTTTGAAGTTGCGAAATATATATCGGAAGATAGTTATGGTTTAATATTTGGTACAAATATCTTTTATGCATTATTATTCCAAAGTTTGTTAACGTTAATAGTTATTAATGGCAATCTTGGAAAGGATATCAGATCTCAAGTAAGAAGATACATATTGAATTTTAATATCATTAATCTAATAACATATAAAATTGTTTTGCATATGATAAGATATTTTATTACTTTTTATACTTTATTTTAAAATAATTCATTTTCTGTTTCAGTTTTTTATTTATGGCTGTTATTATGTTATTTTGGCTGCGATATTTTTAATAATAGCTATATTTACAATAATAAAACATGTTAAAAGTGGTAATAAGTTTAAAATATGGATTAAAAATAAGAACATTCAAAATTCAAATGAAAATATAGAAAACGAAGAATCGCTTGGTATTCGTGCAAATTCTATGGCATCTAACGATATTATTTTAACTCCTTAATTATGTAAATGTAATAACTAGAGAAAAATATGCAATTTATTTTTAAAGATTGTATTTCTTTACGTATTCAAAGGCAGCTTACTATTTCTTGATTTTAATATAAACAATTTTATTATTTTAAGTATAGTAATATTGGAATAATTATAGACTCGACGTATCTAGTAGTATTAAATAAATGTAAGAAGGTGTTAGTAGGAAAGTACTTTGAACCAGTAAAAAAGAGAGAACAAAGACAAATAATAGAATAATACGTATTATAACAGAGTATTATGTATTTTATATAATTGTTAATTATACATTTTATTTGAATATATTGAGTGAATATATCATTTCATCCTGAATGAAAATGAATATCAGTGAAACAATTGACTATTTTAAATTAACTGAAACAATATTTTAAACATCATTTCAATATTAAGTGAGATTCGTTGCATTGAAAATTTCTTATTTTTTTTTCATTAAAAAACATTCGTATTATTATTCGTGACGGAGAAAACAATAATGCAGCATAAAAGAATTTGACGGTATCATTTATAAAAGAAAATATCAAATGTCAAAGTATGTCCGTTGCGGTTTTTATATAATTAAAATTAAGCGGAAGAAAAGATAATATCATTGATGTATCCTCATTACCTAACTCCTAATTATTACTCTTATGAATAATATTTTCTTTCAACTAAAATAATATATGCTCGTAAGATTAGTAAAATTTCTATATAAATAAAAGTAATCTTAAATATATTTATGAGTAATGATTTTTAAAAGAAAAAAAATTAATGAAAAAAATATCATTACTTTCTATAATATTTAAATCGTGATATATTTATAATAAAATAAATACATTAAATCTCTCGCGAATATTTTGAATCAGTATAATAATATTTTTGTATAAAATGTACGAATGATATAAAAATGTCTTATTGGAAATCGCATTATCGATACAAACGTATTTATCGTAATATCTTGTGGGGAATTTCCTTTGGATCATATTGCAATTATATAAAATCAATTTAAAAACATATAGTGAATTGGAACAAGACGTAAAAGTATTTTCAATAAAAATAGAGGAAGGGGGAAAATCAAATCAACGTGATATGACGTATAATTTGCTTATGAAAAATCAACAAGAGCATATAAAGCAACGATGTTACATAGTACTGCAGTTCGTGCACTACATGCACGTCCAATGTTTGTTCTTTATTTGTCATTATAACGAGTGTCTTACAATTAGAAAAAACAAACTTTATTATTTTGTTTTGTTTTTTTAAAAGAACATTTTGATATTTATAAAACAAGAGAAAGAACAATGGTGCAATTACGGGTAAGATAATTATTGTTTAACATCAATAAAAATATGATAATTGCATTGTGTTGAAAATCTTTATATTCAAATGGATCTGTATAAATAGATATAGAATTTTACACATACTTGTTATCAAGAAATACTATCACGGTACAGTTGCGTCAAAGATTGACTTTCAATCGATTTTCATTATTGAATCGATAATGAAAATTAATCATATTGATTCTATCGTACATATCGTATCTTAAAAAAAAAAAAAAAAAAAACAAATAACTCGTTCAAATTAAAAACTTCGCCCTCGGTATTATTATACTTCACGCTTCACAGTTGTTACGCGAACTGGACATTGAAAAATTGTGTTGTTAACATCTGTTCTTATGCAACAAATAAAAAAAAACACATGTCAAAGATATATAAAAATATATGTATAATATTTTTTATTTTTTATTTTTTTACTACAAGTTATATAGGATAGATTTTATATAAAAAAAAAAAACAAAAGTAATAGAACAGATGAATCGTATATATAACTTACGTCTGTATAAAAAGAAAACATTCGATGAAAAAGCAAAATATACTATTGAGACGAAATAATATAAAAATCATTACACACACACACAAGTATTACGGTATTGACGTTTCAATGAAGAAAAAAAAAACTCATTGATCGTAAATTTGAAAGTACTGTCGGGAAGGAAATTCCCATGCCTTGGTATGTTCAAATATAAAACGATCTCATCGATGATATAATCGATATTTTCTGAATTTTTATTGATTCAACTAAACCAATACAAAATTCGTTTCATAATAAATTCCAAAATATGCAAGCAAATAAAAAGAAAAAGAAAAAAAAGAAAAAGCAAGAAAATAATATAACGTTTCCAATCAAACGTCTATTTCTATTTTTAAAAATTATTAACAATTCGAATAAATACGATCCTCGGTTATAGCCATTTTTATTGTCTCATTTAATCTCTTTAAATGATCTTGACCTTACAACTTCTCTCGAGTCAAGACATTGTTGATCGTTTAATTTGAGAAATAAATAATACAAGTTTTAAAAGGATTATCAAGCGCATACTTTCCCTACTTAAGGTCAGTCTCATGAATGATGAGTATAAGAGACTGACAAAAAATATAAAAAGAAATAGTAAACAATTTTTTGCAATATTAAATCCCAATAAGAACCTATTATAACTATTCGTTAGACTGAAATTTGAAATGTCAATGATATAATGTTCGTTCGAATGAAATTTAAAACGTCAATGATTTAATCTTACAAAAATTCTGTCTCGTAAAATATTTTTGAGATTAATTGTTGGTCAAATCGTGAAACCTTTAGCAGAACATGATCTTTAGAAAGGTGAATTAGATGCTGAATGAACGATAAGATAGAAGAAACAGCTGATTAGAAAGAAAATAAAAATAATTTAGCTAAGAAATATATTAAAATTCAAACGAACGTAGAACGGAGATTGAAATAATTAAAGAATTTCATTCATTTACCCTTTTTCATTAATAAGGAGTAATTCGTTAAAAGATTTATTAACGATAAGTAAATAAGGTTCAATAAAAATCATAAATGACCGCTTTTTTGTTAGCTTGAAAGATTTATTCTGTTTTCAATCTCAAGTTTTACTTAGTTTATCATTGAATACTGTAAAGTAATATGTACAGATTTATTAATTTGACTAATTGATTAATTTTCGTTAAATTTACGGTTCCTTCATTGTGTTGACCATAATTATTAATTATTCCTTTTTTTGATTGATTTAACGAATCGCTAATAGTGGAATATTCCATATAATCAGTTACCAAAGAAGAAAAAAGTCAAATATTTCTACGTATAACATAAGAATGTGATAACAAAGAACAAATAAATCGAAATCGATTTTTAGCTTGAGAAAATCAATACGAATCAATGTCCATTTTCCTTGAGGAATTTCCTGAGGAGAAAACAATTATGACTCTTCGTTGGGCATTTCCAATGTTCAGGAAGTAAGCATGTATGTAAGTAAATATATATATATGTATATATACTTACATACGTTGAGAAGACGTAGTAGGTTGGAGAAAAGGAGTGGGATTAAAAAAGAGAAACACGAATCATTCGAAAGGATATACTCGATTCAAGTATGACGAACATCGGAGTCTCTTGGTGGGGTTTATAGAAAACTACCATCTCTCCCATGTCTGAATCGTCATTATCTCTTAGTTCCGTTTACAACTCAATAAAGAGCACTACGTTTGTATATTTTTTTCCATAGAACTTAATTCAAGAAAATTATTCGAGTTATCGTTATCAAGAAAAACAAAACAATGTTCTCCAAATCGGTAAGTCCAATACTGAAGTCAAATGTCTTCTTTCATTGCATCTTGTATTTCATTAATTTTTTTATTTTGTTTCATTAATTTTTTTACATGTATAATGAAGTTTTATTTATTAAACAGAATGAAATGAAATAAAATAAAATAAAATGAATGAACGATACCGATAGCTGCTTACCTAACAAAGTGTTCATATTTATAAACATGAACGACGCGTCAGTTGATTTTCACTGAAGTATTTTCATGTTAATGAATTTATTCACGTGGTGATGGTTCACTGTCAAAAAACGAATGATTATTCATCCAATGACCATGATCATTTTCGAAACTCCAAAAATATCGGTCACCTAATCACATTGTTCTCGTATTTATAGGCATTCATTAACGATAAGGTTTGACATTATACGATCCTCGTACTAAGATTAACTTATTATCATGATATATGTCATTTGAATGATATAATATTTAAATAAGAAAATACTAAATCTTATCGCCTAACCTCATATGATAAGAAAACCGCACCTTGAATGCAAAGCTACATCGTATTTCCTGTGATAATCCAATTTTTATTACGCAAAATCCTTTACGAAAATATTTATGTATCATTAATGTTATCAATGCATTTCTTTCTATTTTTCTACGTTATTTTTACAAAATATAAAAGAAAATACATTAGAGAAAAACTTATCGATCATTTTATAAACAATTTTTGTATTCGTTAAATAACTATACTTATCTATACTGATAAAAATGATACGTCTTCTTCGTCAATGGTATATAAATGTATCACATCTATATACCTTTCACTTTAAATATATATATATATATATATATATATATATATATANTATATATATATATATAGCAATTAATCTGTGTGACTTAAGCTTCTAACTTAAAATAGAATATATTTCAAGATTAACAGAGAGAGAAAGAGAAAGAAAATACATATATATATATATATTTTCTCCTACGTATTTAAACTTGTGACTTGTGTTAAATTCGTTCGAGCGTGATCGATTTACGAATGAGACTACGTATTCGTGTAAAGAATTCTTATGCGATGAACGAAGAAGAAACAGCAGTCCTTGAAAAATACAAAAAATAAAAAAAAATATATATTCAATTTTTCAATTAAATTTGTTAAGACTAATTGTTAGAATAATGATAAGAAGCAGTTGCAACAGCAACAGCAGTAGCAACAATTAGGTCAGTAGTTAATCTAAACAATACCAGGAAGATATTTCTTGATTTTTTTCGCATGTTTCTTAAGAAAAATAACTACTATGTAGTTGTTGTTGTTGTTGTTGTTGTTGTTGTTGTTGTTGTAATAATACATATGTACATATATTTTCATCTTCAAAATAAAACGTAGGCGTTGCGATGTAAATTTCGTCACACAAATGGTTGTTGTCTCGTCATACATAAGTTGTTCGTTCGTTTAAAGCAAGAAAGTTGAATTACATGATGTCATGGTTTTACTACACGTTGCTGCTTTCACTCGTACCAATGAAGAGTGTCTTATCTTATGAAATCTTTTCTTCTCGGTTGAAGAACAAATAATAACCTTATTGATCTATGCGACTTTAGATAATGTAAGATCAATGAGAAGACAAAATAATGAATATTTCAAACTGTTTCGTTAATACGAGATATCTAATATCACATGTAGCAATGTCAGATTATAATGATGAAGAAATTCTATGAGACACGTGTAGAATTGATCATTCGACTAACAAGATGTTTTTTTTTTTTTTTTTTAATAATCTTTCATGTCATTGTCTTTTTTATTTATACGAATTATCATATCGCTTTCTCCAGACGATAAAATGTTTGAAAGAAAATGATTTATACAGAGAAACGGGTTGTCAACTTTCTATAGGTAGCCTCCCATGAATCCTTTTAAATCCACGCATTGAAATCTTTCTGTTTAACGAAAGATAAGACGAAAAATTGGATACAAATTAAATTAGAACATTTCATGTAATTAATTAATTGTACCTCTATTCGAGTCATACATAAATATATTATTATTGTTCTTCGACTTTTTTCATGAGAAAGAAAAAGCATAGGATTAAAACATCGCTTGCTCATGCGTTAAAATGATTTCGTAATACTTAGGAAAACATGCGACATTGCGAGTGTAAGCCTTTCGGAATTGTATCCTTGACGTTTATGAAATTCTTCTTTATAGGCAATCGAATGCTGCAAACTGTTGAAGCATTTTATTCATCCAAAAAAGAAATGATGTCACTAACTTTTAAAAAGTAATCCATATTTATTTCTTGTTTCAGGCAATGTCATTATTACTGTTATTAACGTTGATCGGTAGTATCACGGCACAATGTTTAACAGACAACGATAATCCCACTGAAATGAATCCAGATTCGAAAACGGCACTCGTTCAAGGTCGTTACAAATTTGCCCTAGATGTATTAATAAAGTCTGCCGAAATTGAAACCGACGACAGTATATTTCTCAGTCCGGATAGCATTTACAATGCCTTGCTAATAGCGTATTTTGGTGCACGTGGTAACACGGAGGCATCCTTGAAAAAAGCTTTACATATTCCGAATAATTTATCGAAAGTCGACGTCATGAGATATTATTCTTTTGAGAAATCATTACAGCAAAGTAAAAAGGTAAGAATGATTCGTTTCAAGGTGAGACTTCTCGTGAAACGAGAGCGAAACTCTCCTCGACCTCGATGAGGAGCGATGATTTTTACTCAAACTCTTTTCAGAATAATGGGTCAAGCAATTACGAATACACGTCCGCAAACCGGCTTTGGGTAACGGATACGAAAAAGTTGCGTGAATGCATGCTGGACTTATTCAGTGATGAATTAGTGAAAACCGACTTTAAAAGCAATCCATCAGCAGTAAGAACTGTCATAAACAATTGGGTCAGTAACGTCACAAAGGGTCATATCCGTGACCTATTACCAGAACATAGTATCGATGGAAGTACGGATCTTGTCTTGGCTAATGCCGTTTACTTCAAAGGTCTTTGGCAAAGTCGTTTCGATGCAGCTAATTCGAAAAAAGATATCTTCTATACACCTGGCAGACAAAATTCCGTAATTACATTCATGCGTCAAAAGAAAACATTCAATCACGGTTAGTAAAATATATTTTGATATTATTATATGAACCGATAAAGAAGAGTAAAACGTATCATTTTCGTTTGTTCAACAGTCGTCTCAGAGGAATTGGGCGCACACATTCTTGAACTTCCATATAAAGGTTTAGAAATCTCAATGTTCGTTCTACTACCACCTTTCGCAGCAGCCAGATCTTTAAATGATGATTCAAGTCGAATTCAAGGAGACGGAGGTATCAGGAATGTTCTTCATCGTCTCTCCGATGAGCCTAATGCTATGGAATTACAAATACTTCTTAAAGATGGGATGTTACCTAGACCAGTCGAAGTCTCCTTACCACGATTTGAATTGGAAAGAGAGTTAGATTTGCTAACTCTTTTTACTCGACTTGGTCTTGATGATCTAGTAGGAACTAATTCGGCTGATTTAGGAAATTTCGTAGCTGAAGGTGAAAAAACTCTTCATTTGGGAGATGCTGTTCATAAAGCTAAAATCGAGGTTACTGAAGAGGGTACGACAGCAGCAGCAGCAACAGCATTATTTACTTTCCGTTCAAGCAGGCCATCTGAACCGGCTGTCTTTAATGCTAATCATCCATTTATATATTTCATTTATGATAAAACAAAGGATAGTATATTGTTCAGCGGTGTTTATCGTATGCCAGGTAATCCGACTTCATCGATACCTGCTTAATGATCTTGTTTAAAAGATAAATTGTCCCTCAAAGTACGCGGTTCCTTATTCTTTGTACTAAATGCCTGGAGTGATTGTGCAAATGACATTAGTCATTCATGCTCGCAAATCAGCCATATTTATTCTTCAGCATGATCGTTCCAGAGTTAATAAGATACGGATGAATAAATAAATAGATTAATGGATGGACGAATGGATGATAATGCCTCGAATACTTGAGTGCTTGTTTGAATCAATGATTACGTGTTATTAAAAATTACACAATGTTTTATAAGTTTTGTTGCTTTCAACCAAAGGATACGCAAAAATGAACAAATTACAGTTTTTAATAACTATTATAACTGATATATTTAATTTTTCTTTTATAATACAATATGACAATTCGTGAAGGAAGTAAGTGTATCCTTCCTTTATATCCATGACTAAATTATATTTTGTAAAATTACATCTAGTTACATAGAGATATACTCAATTGTATAAATTTTGTTTATTAGATAAATTAAATCGAAATAATAGGTATATGATATTGATAACAAATCATGTATATTTCGGTAATTGTTTAAATTTGAAAGTGTGTCTGTATTGAACAAAAATATTGAAATGGTTGGAAATATGATAAAAATGCCACTGATTCCTATTAAAAATATTCTAATCAATCAAACAATACGTACATGTAATTTGTATGTCTCTTTGTTATGAGTTAAACTATATTTATTTTTTTTTACATTATCTATTATATATAATTATCTTATATCTATTGTATACTTATTTTGCTTTTATATTGCGACATTTTTTTATATACAATATTTTAAAGAATTTTTCGCACGTTATGCTTGATTATACGAATAAAAAATGAAAAATAAGATAATTTTTTAAATATAACATTTCTATCTTATGTATCAATAACATTTTCCATTTTTATATCTGTAAGAAATTGTGATTTTATTATTGTCTTATTTAAATTACTTTTAAATACGTCTTTTACATAAGTATTAATTTTAGTAAATAAGCAATTTATTTAGAAAATGTATTTAAAGAAAAAATTGCAAAATTACTTAATTTAAATCGAATAGTACAATTTTAAATGGAAAGAAAGTTGGCGCGCTTTTTAATTTTCAAATATGAGCATCTAACTGCCATCTAGCGAAAAAATCATGATTTAATTATACACGCATGTACTGCCATCTAGCGAAGAAATCGTGATTTAATTATACACGTACATACTGCCATCTAGCGAAGAAATCGTGATTTAATTATACACNTACTGCCATCTAGCGAAGAAATCGTGATTTAATTATACACGTACATACTGCCATCTAGCGAAGAAATCGTGATTTAATTATACACGTACATACTGCCATCTAGCGAAGAAATCGTGATTTAATTATACACGTACATACTGCCATCTAGCGAAGAAATCGTGATTTAATTATACACAACACGTCAATTAAATATTTTAGTTGTTATATCATACTGACTACTACAGTCGGCTTATGCAGTTGCACTTGGTTGCAACACGTGATTTATAAAAAACCAACTTATATGAAATATATAATTGGAATATAAATATACATGTGATAAATAGTACATATATATGTTTAAACTGTAGAAATTACATTTGGCAAAAGTTATCGTTAAAATTTTTATTGATAAAATTAATGATAAAGTTTTTTAGTTCCTATGACTAGTTCTCTACAAAAATTTGGATGTTACATTGTGAAATGAATTATTAACAAACTTTGATTTTAATATATTACAATTATGTCCTATATGGATCAATCTAAATATTCAGCAGACCTGTTAAAGCAGGGAAATAAACAAGTCTTTTTGAGTAATGAAGAATGGGATAAAATAGCTGTTTATTTAATGGGAATTCGAGAAAGATATAGAGAAAATATTATTATACCAGCAACAGTAGCACCTGTACAAATTAAAACTAATGAAGAAAAAATGGTTGAAGGAGTTATGGAAAGTTGTGCCTTTAAGAGTATTATGAGCTGTGTACTTGGTATTTAACATTTTTTTTGTTATTATATTTATTATAAATCTTAAACAAAAGATACAATATAATAGTATGATATTTGTAGGATATGGATTAGGAGCTGCTATAGGTTTATTCACATCAAGTGTAAATCCAGATATGACAAGTGTAGATAAAAAACAAACTGCACGTGAAATATTTAGAGAAATGAAAATGACTACGCTTAGTTATGCTAAGAATTTCGCTGCTGTGGGTTTAGTATTTTCAGCTGTTGAATGTAGTATAGAATCTGTAAGTTCTTTCTCAAATTTAGTTGTTTTTTTTTTTTCATTTCAATCAAATTTATTTAAGCTTTATTTTAATTTTAGTATAGAGGTAAAACTGATTGGAAAAATGGTACTTATGCGGGTGGTGTGACAGGTGGTCTAATAGGTCTAAGAGGTATTAACTTATTATTTGCTGTCAATATTTAATCCTTTCGATTAAATGGCTATATCATTTACGAGTATGCTTCTACTGCATAGATAATTGCATTGTTAATAAAGTCTACTGTGCAGGCTAGTTATAACACGAACATAAATTTTATCATGAAGTAAATAAAAAATGAAATATTACAATGTATATCATAATGCATTTAAAAATGTTTAGATTATACAAACTTTAAGTCAATAGTCATTGATAGTATCAAAAGGATTAAAATAATATGATGATAGATACATTAAATTTATATTTGTTTCTAGCTGGTGTAAAAGCAGGAATAATAGGTGCTATGGGATTTGCAGCATTTTCAACTGCGATAGATTATTACATGCACAGATCATAAACAATGTTTAATGGAATTACAATTTATATATTTCTATAGAAAAGATATAAAAGCTTGCATATATTGCGCATATTTATAATACATAAAAAAAAAGCATGAAACACGTTTATAATGTATAAATACGTATAAATGCTTAAAAATAAGTACAATAGTCAAGGTATAAAATATGTGGAAAATTGATATTCCTGTTCATCTTAAATTATCTAAAACTTGTCTGTATACTCCCACTTATCAATTGAACTATTCTTTCATTATTTATTTTATATACCTCAAAATACTATATTAAATTGCATTATAAAAATATTAAGTTATATTTGAATATTCTGTTAAATAAAAATGAAGTAAATTAAATGCATATTTGGAATAATCCTTAATACTTTTCACATAATACCTTTGTAAGATAAATATGTGCAAAATGTTGTTGTCATCTATTTTTTTTTTTTTTTTTGGATAATTTTCCATATTGAGAAACAATATCTTTTCTAAGTTACAATATATTTTTGTTGTTAAAAGAAAATGCAGTCTTATATTTTCAATTTTTTTTTTAAAACATTCTGCACAATCACACATCAAGTACATGATATCACATAATCTATTTGAATTAGATATGTCAGGAAAGTATACATATATAATATATATATATATATACAAATACGAAAAATATTTGTATATTTGAAGACATATTTCTCATAGTATAAATGAGTATAATTTTACTCATATACTATTCGTGAACAATGATCTTTTTTAAAAAAATGTTTATACCATATCTAAAGTCTTTTAAAATTATATGTTATTATAATGTATATTATATAACAACATTGACATGAATTCTATATTTTTAAAATTATATACGAGATTCTTTTCGCAGTATCTAAACAAATATATAATATATTAGTTTGGAATTTTTTGGTTTTAGCACAATATGAGATACTTTGATATTTGCCGCCTTTTTTTTTTTTTTTTTTTTTTTTTTTTAATTATTTCGTATAGTAATTCTTTAAAAGATAAATGGACATGAAATGTGTTGTAATCATAACGTAAATTATTTACGTTAGGAGACCTATTTCTCATAATTTTAGTTTAATATTATTTTAGGAAGTTATCAAATGAGAACTTTTTGAAATAAAATAAAGAATTACAAGGCACTTATGACAACTGTCGCTTTCTTCTTCTCATTTTTTTCTTTTAACTTTGCAATGGTATTGGTATCAAAGATATAATTATTTTGCACTATGTATCAATAATTGTCCTATTTATCTTACATATTAAATCTTGTTAATTCAAAAAAAAAAATATATATATATATATTAGACTACCAAATATTAAATATACTTGTATGCAAGCAGTAATTAAAAATAACTATGCATTAAAGAATATTCTCATATATCAGCATATATCAGCTAAATAGAAGCTTGTAAAAATGAAATTGTCCCTTAAAGCTACATTCTTGTATGTCACATATATTTTATAAACTTTTTTGGCACCTATAGAGCCGAAGCTCTCTTCCTCCAGTTTGTCCAACGTTTATTTCATTATGGCTGTTGCTGTTGCATTTGTGCCTGCATTACTGCCAATAATTCTTGCATGCGACGTAATTCAGCCTCTTTTTCTTGTAAAATACGATCTTTCTCTGATACAGAAGTAGTTTTTTCCGACTCAACAATTCTATTACAAAAAAAGAACATTATTTTCATATTAATACTTTTTAGTTTACAAATAAATTATTACAAACAGATTATATATATATATATATTCTTACGTTTGTCGTCTTGGTGGGACCGGAGCTCCTTTAGCTAATCTTTCACTACGATAATTTTCATAATGTACTTCCTGTGTAACTTCTTGTAAATCTTGCATATGTGTTCTAAAATAATACATATAATCATTGCTGATGACATTTAATTACAATAATATAGTTTTTCTTTTTTATTAAAACGTTTTACTTACATAAGCATAGTTCTCAATTTGATAAAATCACAATGATCTGGATTTTCTACTTCAACAACACCCCATGGATAAAGTCGTCCCCTTACTTTTTTCCCTTTAACTTCGAGTAAAGAATTTGCACCACAAACTGCAAATGGTACAGCTTCTTTCAATTGTCTTACTTGTTCTTTATAATCTTCATCTTCATCGCTATCACAATCTGGCAGTGGATAGATCTTAATGCCACTACCTTCAATTTCTTCCATTACACGTTTCTTTAAACGTAATACCTCTCTTTTAGTAAGTACATCTGCTTTTGCAATTACTGGTACAATATTAACTTTATTATGTAATTGTTTCATAAATTCTATATCCAAAGGTTTCAATCTATTAAAAAAAAAAAACAAACAAATAAATTATAATTGTTTATACATATATTTTTTGTTAAATTGTAATATTATTTCTTAATTTATTAATATGTTTTATATTTTGAGTTATTATATGCGATATTCAATTATAAACATCTGAAACCTAAACAATACTGGTCACAAATGTATTAATATAACAAAATTCACTTAGAAAAATATTTAAATAGATAAAAAAAAATTCATTCTTACCCATGACCAAATGGAGAAATAAAGTAAAAACAACAATGTATTCTATTATCGACTATATTTCTTCTATTTAATCCACTTTCATCGCGTAAAAATCTTTCAAATTGATCATCAATATATTGAATGATGGCTCGGAAACTATCTGTATTATCAATAGCATCTCCATAACCAGGTGTATCAACAACTGTAAGTCTAAGTTTAACACCTCTTTCTTCAATTTCTACCGTGGAAGCGTCAAGTTTTACAGTTTGATTAGTTTTCTCTATATATAAATATAAATATTCATTTATTAATAACATTATCAAATCCAACTATAAAACAAAAATATATTTAATCAGTTAGCTGTGATGATCTCTTTAAAAATTGCATTTGTCGAGTATACTCGTCGATTACAGCTAACTAATTAAAAAAACAAAACAAAACAGAACTAATTACATATTGAATGATTTTAACAATGCTTACCAACAGCGTCAGGAATTATTCTTTCTGGATATAAATCGGTTAAAAATAAACTATTAACTAACGTAGATTTTCCAAGGCCAGATTCTCCAACGACCATAAGTGTAAATTCAAATCCTTTTTTCACCGACTTTCTATGAACTTGATTAGGTAAATTTGCAAAACCTACATAGCCTGGAGCTTCAGGACTAGTAAACTGTTAAATATTAATAACATTTTTATTAAAATATACAGTTAAGTAAAATGAAATAATGAGAAAAAGGAAATGACTAAAGATATGCAAAAAAAAATGTATATATATATATATATATATCTTGTTAAAATATAATAAATATTATAAAATTTGATTAATAATTTCAAAAACTACAAATAATAAAATATTGTTATTGTTTTTTTTTTTTTCTTTCATTTTTTTATAGGTTACTATAAAATGAATATTACTGTAAAATATATGTTAAGTTTAGGTTGTGTGTAAATCTCTTCATGAATATACTCACAGTTTTAACGTTTTCTCTTTCGCTAGACATTTTTTCCTATAATATTGAACAAATGTGTTGATTTGAAAAGAATTCAATAGCTTGCAGGGAAATGCTTTATAAACAATTTTCAGATTTATTACTTACGAACTGACAGAAGACAGAACAAGTTAAAAGACCGAAATGTCTTCTAGCAGTGCTACCAACATATAACGAGATCTTTTAATCAAACCTATTTTATAATTAGATAAATTAATGTATATACACGTATATTTAAATATATAATGCAAAATGTATATTAGTAAATGGTATTGCTTTTACATACGTATTTGACGACCTATTTTCAATTGATTTTGACGTTGTTAATATTAATGAATTTTTCATAACTAGAAGATACATATATATATATATATGTATGTATGTATTGTACTACTTACTTGTAAGTAAGTGCAATGTCTAAAGTGAACGAAACTACTTTGAATATATAATAATGTGAAAAATCGTATTAACCGTTTGTAATATTATGCACATATAAAATCTGATTGAAATAAAGAAAACATTACAATGAAAGGTTCGAATATAATTAGTTGTATATGTGTATATATACATAGCCATACGATTTAGTCCATTTTTACTCAAATCTTTTTCATCCATTCTTAACACACAGGTTTTTTTTTGAAAGTTTACATATGATGATGCGAATGAATTACAAAACGATTTTATTAATATTAATTGTTGCTGTTATAAGTTCCTTATTAACATCATGGAACAATTGTGGATATCCTTTCTTCTTGAGACCAACAGATTGGAAATATCAATTTAATCAACATAAAGTTAGTTAATCAAGTATTTCAATTAATTGCAATTATAAATTGTTTTATTGTTAAAAGAAAAAATTTTTAATTATAACTGTATTAATAATATTTATAAATTAGGAAAAAGTAAATAATAATGAACCAGGATATCAAGAAATAGATTGTTCTATAAATGGTGATTATTCAATTGGTTGTCGAAAAGAAGGAGATGAAGTATACATACCTTTTTCATTCATTCATAAATATTTTGAAGTAAGTATCAATTAAAATAATGTATATATATATATATATATATATATATATATATAGTTTGACAGTGTTAATAATTTATCTAACCTAATATGAATAGATTTATGGTAAATTGGCAACATACGATGGATTAGAAAGATTTGAGTGGTTACACAGTTATTCGAAAATTGTAACACCCAAGGGTAAATATGATCCTCGAGGAGTATTTATGACATTTGAAAATTATAATGTTGAAGTCAGAGAAAGAGTAAAATGTGTTAGTGGCAGTGATGGTGTACCAGTATCCACACAATGGGAAAGTCAAGGATATTATTATCCAACTCAAATTGCCCAATTTGGATTGTCCCATTATAGCAAAAATTTAACAGAACCAGAACCTTACAGAAAATTGATAAAAGATTCTGATAAACTCAAACTGGAATGGTCTGTTCCTCAGGGATCTTTTATTTCTCAAATATATGACAAACAAGTTAATAGTTATGTTACGAAATTTGCAACACCTGAAACGAGTACTTCTGGAATAAGTTTAAAACTGGATCATGTATTAGATCTTGTATTAAAATGGGATTTAAAGATTAAGGATAATGGCAGTATTATGGTTACATTGCAATCTAGAGAAAAGAAAGATATGTATAACTTACATTATACGGCAAATAATATAATGTTACATACCTTTAGGAATCATATATATTATGGAATTGGACAAAACAATCATCAATGGAAACGTTTTACCAGAGATTTAGTTGTTGATTTACAAAAAGGATTATATTTGAATGATAAAAGTAAAAAGAAACTTTCGCGATCTAAATTAAAGGTAAACTATATATCGTTTTACGGTGAACAAGTTGATCATAAATGAATAAATCATTTCATTTATATTTTCATATTATAGATTATTAGAATAACCCTTTATGGTTCTGGAATGATCGATAATATTACATTATCAACAAGCGAACATATGGAACAATTTTATGATGCTGCTAAATGGTTTGTAGCTAATCAAAATGTTACATCTGGTGGATGGCCAAACCCAGTTAGAAGAAGAGTTTCTACTGGTATGGCTACGCTGGAACCTGGATGGTATATTGTAGAATTTTATTTACATTCACTTTTTAATATGTTAACTTTCCTACAGTGTAAACATAATATATTAGTTATTATGTTTACGTGATATATTATTTTAGGTATTCCGGTATGGGTCAAGGACATGCTATTTCAGTATTGGCGCGAGCATATTATCATTCTCGAGAAGAAAAATATTTACAAGCTGCAGTGAGAGGTTTAAGGCCATTTAAATTATCATCTAGTAAAGGAGGTGTAGCAGCTTTATTTTTAGGTAAATATATTTGGTACGAAGAATATCCTACAACTCCACCTTCGTTTATTCTTAATGGATTTATATACTCCCTCATTGGACTCTATGATTTAAAAAGTATAGCAACAGGTAAAGATGCCAATGAGGCATCAAGATTATTTAATCAAGGAATGATCTCACTTAAAAATATGTTAACTTTGTATGATACTGGATCAGGTACGACATATGATTTACGTCATTTTACTTTAAAAATAGCTCCTAATTTAGCTAGGTGGGATTATCATTCCACACATGTTAATCAGCTTCTTCTTCTTAATACCATTGATAATGATCCAATTTTTACTGCAACTGCAGAAAGGTGGATCGGATATATGAATGGTAAAAAGGCTGCACATAATTAATTGCATTTTACATTTATGTATTTGTACTTAAAAGTACTACACTGTGTTCTAATATTTATAACTAATATTTGATATTATTTCTTCTTCACTTGTTTGAGTTTCACATTCTTAGAGATTTTATTTCAATATAACCATGACTATAAAAAACAAACAGATATCAGGTACGTGCGATCAATTGTTTTTATATGTACATATATAAATGTTTTTATAAAAATTATTAGTAGTTCACGCACACGCTTAAAAATATATCTTTCTTGATATAATGTACATCATTTATTCGTGGATTAGTTCTTTTTTTTTTTTTTTTAAAGATCTTTATCATTTTCAATAGGGGTAATAATAAATGCCATCTAGTAAATTAGTTGTATAAATTAATTTTTATGCAAGTATAATACATGTACTTAAGTAGTCAATTTTAATTGAAATTCAATCAGTTCATTTCTCTGCATGAACATATAATATCAAGTATTTTGTAATCTGTAATATTTAATGTCATTAATATCAAATATTTAGAAGAAAGAACCTTGAGAAGGTGTCATGCAATATATAAATTTATACTGATATATATATATATATTAAAAGTATTATAAAATTTACCAAATATGTTACTCCAGCAAGCAGCTATTAAATATTAGCATTCTTTTCATTTATTAAAATAACAATTCGATATTATATACGAAGCATAAGTACTATGAATATTTTAATAATTATTTTATATTTTTAATAACGTAACATATTTAACATATGTTTATTTTCATTATTTAAATATGCCTCATAAATATAATTAGTATTTGTTTAATTTAATTTAATTTAATATTTATTATATACATTACCATGAAAATGAAAATAGTTTTTTTATTATTATTATTATTTGTTGAACATTCCATATGTTGTTGATATGTGTTAATTAAATTTCAAATAATTTTTATATTTATGATTTATATTTAATTATAATTAAAATATATAATTTGCTGTCATATTTAATATTTTATTGGAAAATAGAAATATATGTAGATAATCAACAGATGAAAATCATAAATGCAATGTTTAGAAAAACAGGGTAGAAAATAATATTGGTGATAGTAGCATTTAGTGATTGTATATTTTTTTACATTCCAAGTGATTGTAGTAACTCAGGAAATAATTTGCAAAAATTCTTAATTAATATTTTCATGTATGTAAAAAGAGCTAAATATAATGAAATTCATTTTTTCATTAAAATATATAAAAACATTTAAATGATCTTTAAAATAGAACTGCAATATCATATAAATAAATTAGACGATAGATACTGCACAAGAATTATTCATAATAACTAAATTAAATATTGTTGAATATTATACAAATTGGTTATATTTATTAATATTAAATAAAACACATCAATATACATTTTCTTATAATAATAATAATAATAATGTAAATATGAACTGTCTGTAGTGTAATCTAAGACTGTTATCATTAATCGTATTATTAATTCATTATTGAATGCAATATATATTATACATGTTTTGTATTATGCATTTTATATAGGCTGTGTAATATAAATAAGTATGTTTGTAAAGCATGCTTTAAAAATATCTTATATAGTCATTTTAATATCAAATAAATCCAAGTTAAACAACGGAAATGAATAAAGTGGAAAAACTACATACACAGGATATAACTTATTAATTTTATTATAAAGTATTCATATACAATAAATGAAAATGAAATTGTATAAATGATACTTATACAATTTAACTTTTTTAAACTTTGATAAGTGCATTATTATGAATTTTTGTTTCTACATATAAATGCTTTTTTAAATAATTCCTATTACTACTTTTTACATTATAAGCTATTATGAACATTTGCTGTAATGAAACAAAAATTAATAGGACGAATTAAAACATGATCATTAGTTAACATGAAAAATTACATTTTATTAAGGAAAAAAAGATATGAAGATTAATTAAAAAATATAATGAGGTCACCAAGAATATACCTGAAAGAAAATATTAATCTGAATATTAAACAATTACACCAATTTACAATCTATAAGAATGAAGAATATATTGAGACAATAGAGAAAAGCAATTTGTAAATATGATAACATCTTTATTTCTCTAGTTTTTCATAATGAGATGACAATTATCATATGTTCATGGTTTTTTTTCTTTGTTCCATATTATCTGCTTACGTGCAGATTTTGCAAACCTTCCTAAATGATTAAAATCAGTTTTAAAATATGTAAAATACAAAAAAAATGATGCAGGCTGATATTAGTAATTACAATGTGTACACGCACAATCGATAGGCATTTGAAATATTTATTGTGTAACATAAAAAAAGATATAAATAGTGATAGAAGTTTATTATTTTTATTGTATAAAATATTTAATTCTAATAGAGACGATTACTGTAAGCGGAAGTTAGTTAATTACTACCCTCTGTGTTTTCTACTACTATATATATATATATGTATAAAGTTTTTATTTTTTATATTTGTACGTGTGCACTTGTCAATTGATCAGCACATATGCTCGAAGCATAAGATTAACATTTACATTGCTTTAAGACAATAAGAAAATTCCGTATATGTAAAAACTGGCAATATATACTCTGAGCCAGAGTCAGACCAAAAAAAAAAAAAAAATTATAAGTTATTGCGTGTGTATGTATATTTATATATGTATCCTTTGAGACATTGCAAAATGAAGCATACTTGTATAACAGAATAAATCTTTTCAATTTTATCCCTTATTTTTAACAGTATTGTACCTGCGAATACTGAATAGAAAAAAAAATTGAATAGACAATATAAATTAAACAAATACAAAAAAATTATCTATACAATGTCTAGTATCTATTTTTTTTTTTTTTTAATTATTTATTATATGAAATTCTTTAATAAAGTCATTTGATGTATTATGATATTATAAATTTCTGTTCTATAGGAAAAATTTATTTTCTGTTACTATAATCAAAAAAGTAAGTGCATTGTATAATATAAAATAAGAAAAATGCTCAGCCTGCATTATGCAGAAAGGATCGAGGCATCTACAGATTATATTTTCTGTGGTACATTTTAGATTTACAGTCTTAGTAAATTACTATAATGTGCATCTATATTTCATGTTCACCTCATCACCGCTACTATATGGTTTTATTATTCATTTACTCAAATTGCATGCTTACTCCTATGAATACATCTGTGTGTGTTTTACAGGTTCGTGTATACAATGCCTTCGTTATCGACGAATATGAATAATTCGACACAACACATTAGGTTGGCTTGGCTTGCAATACACATTTTTATTAACCAGAAGCATCATGTTATACCTATTAATTAGTAAAAATGTTGTCAGTTTTTTTTTTTTTTTTCACAAGCGATTATTGATTAACTTTCAATTTAACTTTTTGAATGTATGAATTTATTCAGTATGAAGTGCGTGTTTCACTTAGAAATACGATACAGGATTGATGCAAAAGTACCAAATTTTATTGCGTCCTTAGAAACGTTTTCTATCATTGTATTCATGTAAATTAAAATTCTAAAACACTTTAAAACTCAACAAATTCCAGGTTTAATAAATCGAAAATATTTGATAAAAGAAAAAAAATTGGATATATTCCAAATATAAATATGCTTTATACAAAGTATACAGGTATACAAATATACAAATAAATAATCGAGTTTGAAAAAAATGAAAGCTTTATATTAATGTTTTTATATGCTGATTATTAGGAGAAAAATTATAGAAATAAAATAATAGAAACAATGTTGTAAAGTACTGCATGGCACAATATTAATATGTCAAATCACTGTTGCACCAATCCCCGTTTATTATTCATTTATTTTTTATTTTCAATGGAACATTCTAAGCTCCATGTATACAATCAATTATGTGATATTCTCTTAATTAAAAACTATGATCATTTGAGTTTATTCTTTGAAACCTTAAGTGATATTGTTATCTAAATTTATGCTTATTGAACATATTGCTCATACAAACAGTTTGTAGTAAATTAATACTCATTGAAGGTTTCAAAGCAATATCAAACATACGTATTTTGTTCGCACTACCTATTATGGTTCAGTTTACTTTATATTTCTCGATAATAAAAATACAAGCAGTATAATGATGGTTGAAAAAACTCAATGTTGCAGGTGAATTTACTTGGTATGTGTATACATTATTGTATTCCTTATGTGTACAATGAATGTTGTGTCTATATGTGGCATGGAACTTGCTCGCATTGAACAAGCATATATTATATCTTTTGAAGAGACACCACAAAGTAAGAACAAATTATATACTGATACTCTGATGTTGTATCATAAATTATGTTCGATGGCATCTCTATAAAATCAGATATTCTTTCCCCTACCTTGGCAACTACTTCCTTAAAACTGAATTCTTTAAAGGAAGTAGTCTGGTGTCCGCCTAGTGACATGTGGTTCTCCACGCCTTGGTGCTGGGTCAAACTGAAGGCTAAAATACGAAAAACACCGATGATAAATTTGAGAAACCTATTAACATTTATTCTTAAACATTATATTCAAATGTGATACTTACAATGAATATTTTAAAGCATCATCTAGTTCCATAATCGCGGCTTGATTACCACAACGGTAGCAATAATTAGGAGCAGAGAAGATAGTTACAACATTACGATCGTGACACCTGAAATTTTAAATGCATAATATTTCATTAAAAGAAAATATAATTCATCAATTATTAATTTACAAATAATATTAAAAATTGAGTCAATTATATTGGTAAGTATATTTACCAATTATATCCTTCCATAACCAATTGATGAGCTCTTGATACCAATGTAAGACCATTCGAATGATTAAATGTTTCTGATATATCTTGACCGAAGGTATATCCAGCTCCTCTAGGGGAAATACCCCAACCTCCTCTATCATCAGGATCTGACCATAACAAATCACACATAGGACCCTACAAATAATACAATGAAAAATTATTTACATATAACTTGTCATATTGCAATTGAACTATTAACTGAAAAATATTATACATACTTCGTGGGGAACTTCTTGTAGACGATCTAAAGCTCTTATATGATCTAAGGTATCAATTGAAGGTGATAATCCACCATGTAAACAAAATATTTGACCATCAACCAGTGCAGTCAGTGGTAAATAATCAAATAAGTCAGTAAAGAATTTCCATACATTGGCATTGCCATATTTGCGTAAACACTCATCATAAAATCCATATACTTGTGTGATTTGTCTGGACTCGTGATTACCTCGTAAAATTGTTATTCTTTCACGATATCTTACCTATAGAAATAATATTATATTTTGAGTAAATTTGATAAGATATTATAAATATTAGATAAACTTTATACTCCTATACCTTTAAAGCAACAAGCAGAGTAACTGTTTCAACGGAGTAATATCCACGATCAACATAATCACCCATAAATAAGTAATTTGTGTCTGGAGATTTGCCTCCTATTCTAAATAATTCCATTAAGTCATGAAACTGACCATGTACATCGCCACACACAGTTACTGGACATTTTACTTCTTGTACATTTGATTCTTTAGCTAATATCTCTTTTGCCTAAATATAAACAGAAATAATATTTTAGTACACTTACAACATATAGATAAACAAGACGATTCATAGATAATGAAGTTGATTCATAAATCTATTTTAATTAATAAATTTCAATTTCATTTTGTTAATTCAATTAAAACATATTATGATAATTGGAATATTTTTATATTATTATATATATTTAAATATTTGTTAATTTTTCTATATTTTATAATATTGAAATTTTTCGTATTATCCAAAACAACAGATGAATTTTATTATAAATTATTGATATTATTTCTGAAATGTAGAAAACCAATTATGTAGTCTTGTAGTTCAACGATATATCTATAATTTATATAATTTATCATTATTCATTGCAAAAGGTATAATTATATTTAAAAGCATAAAAACAAATTATTAGAAGTTATTATAAACTTAATTCCATAGTAAAAGATCTTAAACTTGACTATTCAATTTGTCAAAGAATAATAATTGTAAAGACAACAAATTATTTTGATGAGATGTTAAAAGGTCAAGTACAATTACTCTATTTGAAAATATAAAAAAGCAATTGATCTCTCATAATTGTATGATATATCTTTGTTATATATCATAGTAAAGCAATGTGCAGTAACTTTTTTACTGATCGTTTCCGATTTCAAACATTTAATGATTTTTATACATAAAATATAATAAACAAATATATAAAATTCCAAAATTGTAAAAAAAATGAACCGGCTTTTTTGCGGTTTTTTACTAAGTACCTTGTCGCATAGAGTTTTCACTTGGCTTTCTGTCAGTTGTTTGCAATCATTTAATTGTTCTATCCACTGATCCAACTCCTTCTGTGAAGCCTTTTCCTCCATTTTATAAATCTATCCAATATCCGAAAAATATAATACACTTTTAGCACATATAATATTACGCTAAATAAGCTTATCTATAAACTAAATCATTCGGTTTGACTGCAAAAGCTTCTTAATACAAATATTCTAATCGAGCACACACTCACAAAATGGCCGACCACGGATGCTGATGGTGACGTCATATACGATTCATATATACCCCTACTAACTCTATCTTCTCTACTTCTTTCCAAAAGTAAATAGACCAATCAACGTTTCTTAATAAATAATTTTAACCAATAGCATTTGAGCTTTATCATTGATTTAACTTTCGCTACATAAGTACAAACATTAATAAATCGGATTAATATCAGTAAAAATATTAATTACCGATTTTTTAAATAAAAAAAGTAATTTATACATTTACAGAAATATAATGTATAAATAATTAGTCTATTAAGATGTGAAAGTTTTATCGTTATTATATGTTCAAGCATATGTTGAATGTTTCATTAAATTTGCATTATTAAATAAGTTTGTTTAACTTCATTTATAATATTTAATAAAATATATATTTTTCTAAATTTAATATATATTAAAATTAATGATTATTTTAAATTGCAATGACGCTCATTAATGTAATAATCGAAACACGTGATTAGAGTTACATCACTTGAAAAGTTCCATATTTACGAATTTTATAACGTACTTCATATTTAACCATTCAAAAAGGTAATCATTTAACAGTAATCTTATATTAAATAATATAACCATAAATATATAACATTTAAATTATTTTAGTGAAAACTACACATTATGCTTAACACATGGGTGTGTGTTGTAGTTTTGAAAAATCAATACATACTTCATATTTACACTTACAATACATTGCATCAGTTTAATTTCATTTAAATCTTATAAATTTAATTATAAAGAAGGATTAACAGGCATTATAACAACAAAATAAATATTTAATCAAAATGAACAGACAGCAATAATTTATTTTTAATATCATTATACTTCATAAAAATAATACAATCATTATTGATTACATTTCAATGTTACGTATACCTAAGAAAAGAAACAATAAAAGAATATATTTTAAACATCAAATAAAAAAGTGCATTTATATAAGTGTTTACATATTTTTACTCATTTAGATATATTTATGAAATTATTTTATGAGACTACTCATAAAAATATATGAAAGCTTACGAGTATATATTAATTAAAACAAAATAAAATTATTAATGATAAGATTTAATATAAAGCTTAACTTACTGATATGAATATTATTATATTATTTAATAATATCACATTTATATTATATTCTCTTTTATTGGTGATTAATTATCAAAATATTAAAACAAGAAGTGCAAGATTGTAAACAGATAATTTTAGATATTAATGCCATTTATCTTTTTTTTTTTTTTTGGTTATTTTTCTTTTATAACGCGCTTGACATTTACACTTTTTATCTACAAAGTGTTGCATCTAATTGTACGAGCCAAGGCAATAATAATTTAATTTTTCGTCTATAATTTGGATCCTTTGAAACAGGATTTCTCTCCAAATACACAGTTTTTATACTTTTGTTAACTACTAAGCTCTCCACGGTTATCCAGTCTTCAATCTCATTGTTATTCATCTATAAATTAAAATTAAAAATAAGAAACAAATCGATCGTCTAAAAAAATATGATCTATATTATTGATTCTTACCCAGAAATCTTCCAAATCTTGAAGATGTTGAATATTTTCTATTTTTTTAATTTTATTATTACCCAAATCTAAAGTTGTCAACTTTGAACAATTTTCTAAACCTTCTATACATGTAATTCCATTTTCAGATAAATACAATTCATCCAATTTTGTTAATTCTTCTAAATTTTCAATTTTTGTTATACGATTACTTTGCAAACTAAGCAATTGGAGATTTTGCAAGCTTTCTAGATTTTGTATTTTAGTAATTTTGTTTTTCCCGAGATACAAATTTGTTAAATTTGTCAAATCGTCTAAATTAACTATTTCTCGTATTTTATTGTCACCTAATTCCAAGGTCTCAAGATTTTTTAAATATGAAAGATTTTCAATAGATACAATTTTATTGGACGATAAATATAAACTACGTAAATTTAATAAATTATTTAATCCTTCAATTTTTTTTATACGATTAAAAGAAAGATCTAAAATTCTGAAAAAGTGTAATAATAATAAATTCAAATGTCAACTTAAAAAAAAAAAAGATGAAAACAAAGGGATACTTCCTTATAGAAATATGATATATTAAAATCAACTTACTCAAGACTCACAAGGGCATCAAGATTTTCTATTATAGTAATTTGATTATCTCTAAGTTGTAATTCAATCAAACTGGAGAGAGTATCGAGATTTTCTATTTTTTTAATTAAATTCCAAGTAAAGCATAACTTTCGTGCTTTGGTTAATGGTTCCAAATTTTCTAATTTTGTAAGTCTTGAATGATTGAAGTCTAATTCCTGTAATATAATCAAAATAATATATATTATTATGTATGTGTGTATTTTGTGTTTTTTGTTTTGTTTTGTTTTAATATTTATTTAAGTATACACACTTCACTATCAGGATCTATAATGAGACTCTTCTCTGCGTCTTCAGTCTCTGCATCATTATCATTTTGTTGATCCATTTCAATGCTGTCTTCTTCTATAAAATATACTTTACAATATAACCTAAAATTAATTAGTGATCAAATTGTCAATTTGTTATTTATTTTCAAATGAACTCTTACCATTGTGAGCCATCCTCAATTTTATGTCTTAATGCGATGTTGTGCTTTTTATTACTTTTTTTTTTTTTTAATTACGATAAAATACGTTAGTTTAATTATAAATTATATGATCTTTTTCACCATAAACTTCGCAGTTTTATATGATTGAAATAGAAAGCTAAAAATAATTTACTAGATCGCGTAGAACTGTTGTAAACAGTTGGTTGTGTTTATATTACAAAAGAAAAGAAATACAAAAAAATTACAACAATTAAACAAGTGAGATATTTGAACAAAGAATTGAAATATTATTTTTTTAAATTATTAAGAATCTCTGAAAAATAAATCATTATGATGGAGCAGTCACAGTAGGACATACTAAAAAATATACTATCAGTATAATATATGTAGTAAAAATTATTATCAAATTATCTGTACATTTTCATCTCACTTTTATAAGTTATTATAAATTATTTATAAAAAAAAAATGTGGGCTATATATATATAAAAGTTACTAATAAAAGTTCCCCAATGTATTGTTACAATTGAAATTCTAAAGGTGGTACTCATGAATAGTGACATTTCTTTAATTATTCTTGACTGAATTTTGGATGTACCGAGTTTTTAATTTATTGTTGTCCGATTTATCTCGAAAATAAAATATTTTAAACAATTTGTATGCATTATAATTTCGATAAAGAACTTGGTTACGCTGTTTAATTTTCTTTGTTTTCTTTTTTTCTTTTTTTAAATTGTTTTTTTTTTTTTTTTCATTTATAACAATTACGAATGGTTTAAAAGTTAGTGTAGATAATCTGACAATTGTGCTTGTTCTTTGCATGTAGGGTGTCTATTCACGGCGATTCCATAGCAAATGGACATTTGCATATTGCAGTTATGTGCTTCCATTGTGAAAACATAATTGTTTTATGGTGATAATATGTCAAAATCAAACATAAGGAAGATAACAGTTGACCCTACGAAATGTAATACTGACTCTCGTCGACCCAGTGTGTTCGAAAGATTGGGGACCAAACCAGCAGTCACAGCAATAGGTCAAAATACATCAGATTACTGCAGGAATTGGGCATTGAATGGCAGCTGTTCATACGGGAAAAATTGCAAGCAAGTACACGTTTACATGTATTCTCTATGAAGGAAGAAGATATCAAAATCTATACCGGTGTGCAACAATCAAGGTGCTGCACATTGTTGTTATTAGATATCTCTTGCAGCTTCTATCTCTTCTACGTCGTAAAAAAAAAAAAAATAATAATAATAATAAAACCATTTATAACTTGAAATGGAAAATCAACTTAACAACATAGAACAAATATAATTTCTTTTTCTTTCGCTTCATGAATAGGTATGCAAACACTCACACACTGATAAGTCCATCCAAGCGTGCGAAGAAGGATAATGCAATTACAAATACAACAGGGGTGAGTACACGTATGAAATTGCATTATCACATAGATTTTATTGTACACTATTGTTAATCATTGTTTTTATTTTTCTAGCTTGTTGAGGACCCATTTAAACGACTAACTTCTAAAATTGTTAAGAAACCATCGCATAGTCCTGATTTGAATTTAGAGGAGTGGAATCAAACAGATCTAGAATACGAAGACGAGAAAGTGTTAGAAAGGCGTAGGCAGCTTCTGCAACGAGAATTAGAAATACAAATGAAGAAAGATAAAGAAGTTCATGGCAAGGAAAGAGTCAGACAGAAAAAAAAAGCAATGAGTTCATCCTCAAGTTCACATACCTCCAGTACATCTAGCAGTAGTAGCAGTTCCAGCAGCGAAGATTCTTCCTCGAGTTCAACATCAGATTCGCGGAAAAAAGTTAAAAAAATGAAATTGAAGCGACACCATAGTGCTTCTACAGACTATGATGAAGAAAAAGAAAGGAGAAGAAAGTATGTCTTTAATTGTTTGGATTTTGTCAAATAATTTTAAGTAAAAAAAAATATATATATACATTGGGTTGTTCAAAACATTCGTGTTTGGTACGAACTTTTTAGACAATCCATTATATGTATGTATATCAATAATTTTTAGATTATTTTAAATTAAATAACATAGAAATTTAACATAACAATTTAATGAAATAACATAGAAATCTTTTAAATTAATGTAGGCTGAAGATAAAAAGGCTTGGAACAAAAAATGAAAAACCCATTGCCAAGAAAAAACGTAAAATTGATGCAGGTTCTGTCAAAAAAGATATTTCTGTAAGAACAAATAAGAAGTGTGCACCAACTTCTTCCACTTCGAGAAAACATTCGACTGGTGGTCGGGTTAGATCTCCCACGGTACAGGTATCTGCATCAGCAGTTGCATCAACACCTCCTATGTTATTGGGATCATCAGTTTCAGTAGCTCATCATTTACCTTCTAATAAAGCAAGAGAAAGAAATAGAAGTGATTCGCCTAAAACAATAAAAGGTAGAGAATCAGAGAAGGACGATAGACATTATAAAAAATTAAGAGATACGGATGACGTATCATCTAAAGAAAATGTGAAAACTAAATCCTTTGAAAAATTGAAGGAACAAGACAAAGAGAAAAATCGGGCAGTCGATGAAAAAATGAAAACTGATGATAGATTGAAAGCAAAATGTAAGGAAAAAGATGTGAGATCAAGAACTCCGTCTATAGCTGACAGATCGAAGCATCAGTATAATAAAGAGATTGTATCCGCAAAATCACGACGTAGTCGTACACCTGAAAAACCAACGAGATCAAAACGGGAAGTAACTCCATTAAGAAATCAAGAAAGACTTTCATCTTCGAGCAGATCAAGAGACGTGGAGAAGAAGGATCGAGAGAATCATAAGAATGATAAAACTAAGGATAGAGAAGATATTAGGAAACCTGAACAAGGAAAACCAAGACAATCTTCTGGTCAAGATGAGGCACATCGTAAAAATGTTATTAAAGATTTTGATGAAAAATCATATTTAAATGACAAAGCACGACAAAAAAATAGAGAATGCCGTGATAAGGATCATACAAGGGATGAACGAAATCATACAAGATTTAATCGTGATCAACGTGATCCACAACGTAACGATCCACAGCGTGATAAAGAAAAGGATGATACACAGGAACGTTGTCGAGAGAGACAAAGGGACAGAGATCGTGAACGTGAAAGAGAACGTGAGAGAGAACGTGATCGAGATCGTGAAAGAGATCGCGAACGTGAACGTGAACGTGAGAGGGATCGTGAGAGGGATCGAGATCGAGATAGAGATCGAGATAGAGATAAGGAAACTATCAAAGCCAGAGATAGAGATGTTCCATCTTTGGTTCCGTCTGCATCAATAAGTTTAACAGCGGACAAAAATTCACGATACGGTCGAGATAAAGAACGTATTCCAGGAAAAGAAAGTACATACGAGAAAACTGGTGCACGTGATCGTAGAAGCGACAGAGAACGAGAACGATCTGAAACGAAGGCACTTAATGAACGTGATAGAACTTCATCTCAGCGTTTTGACGCAAGGTATGATAGAAATGGAGCTGATAAAGATACATTAAATCGCAAAGCTACCAATTCTCCACGGGATCGAGTTGATCGCTTTCCTAGAGAACGGTCGTTAGACAAAGCGCCTCTTCTTGAAAAAACTGTACATCCTCCTGCAGCAGCATCATCTGCATCATTATTACCACCAGTTGCGTCTTCTACAACTTCATCTTCCTCTGCAGTAGCAATACCACCTGCTTTATCTGCATCACGTGATCATTTGATAGAGAGAGTGGACTCTACGCATTACGAAAGAGATAGGCATCGAAGATTTAGTACAAGGTATGAACGTGGACATGGATCTGAACATGATAGGAAGGAGTCTAGAGTTACTCCAACTAAAATTGATCGTGTAGTAGAAAGGAGAGATGCTAGTCCACGCCGAGCTATTGAAATGGAAAGAAGTTTTAACAGAAATTATGGAAGACTTGGAGCAGATCATTGGGAGGATCAGGAAGAACCTAATCCACATTTAGATTATCGAGATCATCATCCACATGAAGATGACAGAAGAAAATTGATTGAAAGTAGAAGATACGATAGTCCATTTGATGAAAGACGAGGAGTTCGCGAAGAAAGATCTAGAGATTCTAGATATGTTGTACAAACTAGCGATAGATCCTCGTTCGATGATCATCGTCATCATCATCATCATCATAGACATCCAATTTATAGCGGAGATAAATTACGTCCCGGTAATAGCGCATTAAGGTATTTTTCATTTATTTTATTCTATTATATAATAGTATCAACACACACGTTCCGTATCACAGTGATTTTCAGTGGCTTATTGTTTAACTTTAATTTCTTATTGGCTTTAACCAATAGAAGAAGTACTAATCTTTGTATATATTTTGCATTAGAGATGAACCTCTTCCTAATGAAGATTGGGAAGCACATCATAGAGAAGTTGAACATGGTCGAGATAGATCTTATACAGCTGTTGATTGGGAGGAGAGAGAGTGGCGAGCAAGAGCACTCTGGGGTAGCAGAGATAGTCTTCCACGTTCGGAGGCTCATGACGATGAGTGGGCTGCAAGATATGATAATTCTTTATCTGATTGGAAAGCTAATGAAAATCGAAAATGGGATAATCAACCTATACATATTCGGGGTCACTACAGAAATGAACGATCTAAAGAAGTTGAATTAGGAGAATCAACATCGCACAAGTATTATAATATTTCATATATATGTCTATTTAGAATTATTAATAATTATATATTTTATATTTTTTTATCTTTGATTATATTACACAGTAAAAGACGTCCATATGTGAATCCAGAAGTCAGGGAAGAATGTTCAGTTCATGCTTCTAAACAAGCAGCTATTTATGGTAGTATGAAAGAAGAACCAATTAATAAAAAATTAATGGAGCTTGCTGAAGGTAGGTTACATACAAATCGCGAAAAATCGGTAGAAATATATCAGAAAAAAAATATGCCAAGGGAGAAATCTGAGGTGAAGGAAACTCATATACCTGAACCGAAAAGATCTTGTATTGAAGAATCTTTACCAACTCTACATACAGAAAGTGATCTTAGTGATATCAGTGATGATCCTGATGATATTCTTAATATGGAGGAAGAAGTTACGGTAAAGTATAGTTTACTTTAATTTATATAAATAATAATATCTAAAGTATAATAAATTCATGTATTATTTTCATGAAAAAAAACATGTTTTCAGGATGCTGAATCAAACAAATTACGATTACCTAAGAAAACACCTGATATTACACAGAAAGAACAACAACCTGTCATTCAAGAAACAGCTCAACCATCACCTAAAGAATCTATAGAAGATACCGTATTCAATGTGAAAGGAAAAGATAGTTCTGTTACTATGACATTTAGGTAATAAAACAAGTTCGCTAAAATTTGATTCGAGCTTATAATTTAATAAATTATTATTAATTGTACAAATGAATTATACAGAAATATGGTTGATGAAAATATGGAATCTATGGTCTTTGAAGAAATATCTGATGGTGAATTGGAAGAGGATATTAAAACAAGTGGTAAAGGTTTAGGCGATGCTTTAGGCGTTGATTGGGAAAGTTTTGTAAAAGAAATGCAACCACGTCGACCTTTATCTTCTGGACAACAAAATGCCAAAAATCGTTGGCAGTGTAATGCAATTTTTCACAGAATTGGTATATCTTTTAAGTATGCAGGCGAAGATACTATTAATACACTGTCTCAAAAATATGGGAAGGAAGGTAAGTTAAATAAAGAACTTTAAACTCGTGTGAATAATGTATTTTTGTTCATTGATGATTACTTATACTATTTTCTTGTTCTGTAAATAGATCATACTGATTTATTCTTGGATAAGGTTGCATTTGTTCATACAGCATTATCAAGAAACGAATTCTTGCGTAATAATATGTTGGCATCTATGGATGATCTAGTATATAGGTAAGTATATTTATGAATTATAAAATACTTTACTATTGTATTTTTTTATTATGTTAATATATTTTCTTTTACAGATTACAAAATGCAAATAATGATGATGTAGAATATGATATAGATGCTTTAAACCCATGTACAACATTGTATGAAACAGCAAAGTGTTTGCTGCAGCAAGCAATTTAAAACACTCTAATGTTTGCTGTGAATAATTTTTATTGTAAAATTGTATCACTTATATTTTTCATGTGACACGTGCAAATATATATAAATGTACGATTGTTGTTTATTACTTGGACTTAGTATTAATACTTAGCCAACCGAATGAGAAAATCTCCTCATTTTAAAGCAAGTCACTGACCGATCGACCTGAGAGATCTTTCATTTTTTTCTAATTCAGTTTTTCTTTTATTAATAATCAGTTTTGACCTGTAATTACTTACAATTAATTGGATACTTTTTCTGGTTTTATAAAATACAATTTTTTTTTTATAAAATCTGGTAAATAAATTCAATTAAAGTTAAGGAATAAAATTATAACTATCTATTGAAATTTAAAAAAAAGAAATAAATATGTATATACGATTTTTGTATAAACTACATGCAAAATAAAATTGTTAGCATCTATTAAAATCATTTTTATATGTTCTATAGCTTTCAAATAGCGAATACTAATTTACATTATTTGCAAAAAACACACGGACGACAGTGTACGATCAAACGTAGCACGCTCGGTTGTTTAAGTATTAATAAGCATTGTATAATAGGTCTTAAGCAATAAGCCTGAAATAAACAAATTTCCTAAACAAACAGACGATATAGAAAACTAGATAGAAAATGAGTTTTATGAAACCAAAAAATGGCAATGTACTTCTTTCAAATAGGCTGATAAAAGCATATTAATATAAAGAAAAATTGTCTAACTATTACTAAAATTATAATTTGGAAAATCACTATTTGCTCCATAGCCTGCTGTAACATATATAATTATGTGTAAAAAAATTGAATTGGTAGCACAAAAGAAAATATATGTATATATTATTCCATGAATATGGGAAGAATACTTTAACTATTTGTTTAATTCGATAAAATAATAAGATCACTCATGTATCGTATATTAAAGAATTAAAGTAATATATTTTCTTATTTAATTTAACAATATATATGTATAATAAGATAACAAATAATGTCTTTTCTATTTGTTTCAGTCAGAGCATAATATGCCATTAAAAGCAGAATTGCTTTACAAAAAGAATCGTGGATCGTTTCAAGTTTCTAATTGTTTGAAGCAATGCATTTTTCAATATACCAATATCATAAATTGCCATTCAGGAAAGTTGATGCCACAGTGTCATTTTGAAAAATATTAATTACTTCATTTAAAAGTGATTCATTATCTTTGATGTTCATCTAATAAAAAGAACTTCAATTAGTTAACTTTATGCAAATGCAAATTTTAATATGCTGAATTGTTATACCTTTTTCAGAAGTATCAAGCTTTCTTCTTTAAAATTGCTTTTTCCTTGAAGCCGCCGTAATTGTTCTTTGATGGTACAGTACAATTCATAGAGAATTAAGCCTCAAATTAAAAAAAAAAAATTATATTAATTTATCTCTTTTGTTTAATTTTGAAAGATATTATTTTATGTTATGTTTTATTACTTACCTCTTCTTCTACATTGTCCAGAGCCCAAGGTATTTAAAATTGATAACAAGTCTTCGCAGAAGGAAGCTTTAATTGCTAATTCATCATCTGATAAATCTAAATGAATATAAGTATTTTAAAAGTTTTTCATATTGAAGAAATAAAAGATATTTAAGTTTTATTAAATTATATAGCTTGATTATTCAGGTAACATATATATATATATATAATATCATACTTAGGATGCCACACTATACCTGCCCATTGAAGATCCTCAATTTTACCGAAATAAGAAATGATAGTATACTTTATATCTGCTATCAGATAATTAGATGGTGGAATTAAGATCGAAAGTTCTGTTTGTAAGCAGTTTAATAATTTTCGGGGAGGTTTCGATATATATTTATGTAATATCGATGATAAACCAGAACGTATCGAATTAATCTAGAATAGATATAAAAGAAAGGGTTGAAATAACATTAAAAAATGAGAACGATCGCATATTATTTCTGAACCATAATAAAAAGGTAATTATTAAAAGAATAAACTAACTTGTCTTGATTTAATGTCAATTTGGCATTTATTACAAGTCCAAACAGATTCATTATTAAGAGGATCACGAGGTAATAAAATACCGGAACAATTTTCAGCTGCACAATATAATGCACCTAATAATGATCCACATTCCTGAAGGTATAAAAAAAGAAAATATATAAATAATTTTTATATGTATTTATTTATTATACGAACGATATTTCAATAATATATTTACCGTAGGATCGCTGCATCGTTTACATCTGCAAGAAAAATTCTTAGTAATGCTTAGAACTTGTCTTCTTAAAATGGTATCCCACAAAAGATCAATATAAGTCATCGTAATTTCTTCCCCTGCGGAAATGGGACGGACAGCTATGACATAAAGTCGTTGCTGTGAATCGTAATGGTGCCTTGTGTTAGGTACACAAGCATGATTTATTAATGCTCCCATAGGATAAAGCCCACGCAAACTCGTATGATGATCTTTATCTTGCACGACAAAAGTTTCGAATGAATTTGTATTAAAAATTCCACTGACCAACATCATGAGATCAATTTCTTTAGGTTCTGGAGCATTTTTAACGTTGTTCCGAAGTAATGTGACCTTTGAAAACAAAATGTCTTTTTATATTTTTTTAAAAAACAGAAATTTCAACAGTTATCGAATGTATACGAGAAAAGAAGATATTTTTTTTTACAGTAAATTTCACTATTTTATTTCTATTTATTTTGCATTTATTAAATTATGAAAATAAATATAAATGAATGAGAATAATTTTAATTCCATTGAAGAATTGTCTTTCAAGATAAATTTATTGCATTTATACGCATACCTCACGATCACTCTTCAAGTTCTGATGACATTGGAGTGCAGCCAAAACATCGCGTTGTTCATCATCAAGTGTAATTGCTCGTACTGCCAAAAGTCCACGCAATAAACCCATAGACCAATTTGAACCACAAGTTGGTTTTAATTTTCTCAAATATTCACACTCGCCTTCCACGTGTATCTTTGAATCTTCGCATGTTTGAGAGCATACAGGAAGACCGCATCCACGATCGCACGAAAAAAGAGGACATTTGTCTTTGTAACAAGATACGCATAATGGTAAATGTTTTTCGGAATTTCGCGGTGATAATAAAAGAGCATAATCCACAAATATCAATTCTCCTGCTTCGATATCACGTTTTGCGAAAAGTCCACGGCCATCGAAAGTTGAATAACCGACAGTCCAGGCTTGTGATCCAACGGACAATAATTCATGTCTTTTTAAATGATTTTTCAAAATGATCTCTGTTTTCTCCGGTTCCATTACACTCATGATATTAATTTTTAGAGAGAAAGAGATTGCGAAGAAAATAGGAGAACAGTTCGGAGTTGCAGATCTTACCTGAAGATATAAACGTCTCATCTGTGCATATACTTGTGCACTATACATACAACAACATTGCATACTTATATAATATATCTATTTGTATATCTCGTATATATCGTATTTATATCTGAACTGCTGCATCTCTTTTAAGGATACAATAAGAATAAAAAACCTATGTTGAAAAATAATATTAAACAATAAGTATGATATATAATGGTGTTCATTATAAAGTCATACGCGCGAGAAAGTTTATTAAAAAATCTAAATACATATTAATATGAAAACAATTAATGCAATTTTAATTCAAATATTGGATCCAGTTTCGTTTTATTTCAATCGTTAAATTATATTAAACATTTATAAAATATAAATGTATACTTAGAATGCGCACATAATTGTGTTCGATTTCGATCAAAATGAAAATAAATATACAAATGAACGATAGTCCTGAATTAAATAAATTGATTCTTTGTATGAATGAAAGGAAGAAAGAATTTTTATTCATTTCATAGTCTCTTTAGTTCGTTAATTATAATTGATTATAAATTAGTAATCGTCCTATAAAAAATAATTATATATTGATACGATAATCCTTACGCAGGCGTAAGCGATAAGTCGAACACCTTGTGTAGTTTCACTGTTGCTAAGACTACCGTAGGTAGCCGGTCAACGGCACCAAGTCATTCGGATGTATCAATGTCTAAATATACATTTAGTATAGAATTTACATTTGTGCCAAGAGCATCATAAACAAATCATTTTTGAAGCAATCTTCCTTTCATCAAACCACTTGATAGATATGGGAAGGTAATTTGAAAAAAGTAAAAGAATCAGCATGCACATATAAATAAAGGTCATCGATCGAATTAATTTGACATTGTTTTACAGGTGGATATATGTTACGAAAGTATCTAATTATTTTTATGGGATCATATTTATTCTAACAACTTGTATGACAACACCGGTAATCGGCGAATCGTTGATACAATCAAATTGCAGCATTGATCCTTGTATGTACGGAATTTGTTTGGATAACGATAATAGGTACTTTTTGTTTTAATAAATTATAACATTTTTACAAATATTTCAATAAAATAATCTATTAAAAATCGCATATATTGTAATATCGAACAAATCTAATAAGTATAGAATAAGAAATGAACAGAATTTTTAATTAATATCACACATCGTCACATCTTTTATTATATTAATTATCTTTGTTTTTATATTATAATTAGTAGCTCTTATTCGTGTTATTGTATCGATGGATATACTGGAATTAATTGTGAAATTAATTGGGACGATTGTTGGTCAAATCCTTGTCTCAATGGTGGAATATGTACGGATGCCGTAGCGTCTTACAATTGTACTTGTTCCGAAGGCTTTATAGGTATATATTTTAATGAATTATCTTTATTTAATTAGATGTATTTATTACAAAATATTTTCATATACAATATTTATAGGAATAAATTGCGAGCAAAAGTATAGTGAATGCGCGAATCAACCTTGTCTCAACAATGGTACCTGTCTCGATTATGATGGATTTATATGTCAATGTCCTGATGGATATTCAGGTAAAAGATTTATCACAAATAAAATAATTTTTATTAAAATCAATGAAACGGCGAATGATAATTCTTTATTATTAGGTGATTATTGTGAAATTGATGCTTCGGTTTGTAACGATACGATTTGTAAAAATTTCGGAGAGTGTATCGAAGGACCAGGATTTTCTTTCTTTTGTCGATGTCCCACAGGTGAATGTTCACGGTATATACAATTTATTTATATATTAATAATGTTTTCTTTACTTTATCTTTTTTTTATAGGATGGACTGGCCAATTATGCGACGAAGATATCGATGAATGTGTTACTTCACCGTGCAAAAATGGTGGACTTTGTATAAATGTTCCAGCTACTTATACGTGTGCTTGTTTATTCGGTAATTCTTTTTTTAGGAATTTAAATAAATTTCTTTTCCACAAAGATTTACGTTAAAGTATTATATATTTTTCGTAGGTTTTACTGGCAAAGATTGCGACAAAGTTATTTTACCGTGTGATCAAAATCTTTGTCAAAATGGCGCAGTGTGTTTACTCGAAGACAATAAATCAGTTTGTTATTGTGTACCTGATTATCATGGAGCACTGTGCGAACTTAGATATGATGATTGTGAATCAAAATCAGCTAATTGCGAAAATGGTGGTACTTGTATCGATGGAATCAATAGTTATACCTGTGCTTGTCCTCCCGATTATAGTGGAATTATTTGCGAAGAATACATTATCTCATCTACATCAACATCAACATCGTTTATAACGAAAGACTTGATAGAAGTAAATGTTAGTAGTATTAAATCAACTGATGTATCTTCATCGGAACCTACATCTACGTCCATTGTATTTACTCCTACCAGCTCAAGTCGACATCCCCATCCGATCACGTTATCAACGACAGTTTCAAAAACTATCGATCATTATACAAAATGGTATCCCTCGATAGAAACGACCTTGCCTACGCAAACAGATCGAAACATAGTTACGACCAGTACAGAAAATGCGTCGTTTTTTACGGAAACATCATTAAATTTTTTACATACATCAACTAGAAAAGATACTTCAGAAACTCATATTGTATCAGAAACAAGAATTACCGAAGAAGAAACAGTTTCTTCTACATCGGAGATTTCTCTAGCGAGAACAGAACCGATTAATTATCATAACGTTACGGATAGTACAAGAACATCAGATGTTGATCAAGATAATATTACGGAATCATTTTTATCGGTATCAGCATCGGCTCATCAACAAACAAGTAAAGAAATAAGTAATACGCTACCGTATACAACAAGTACTATTGGGTAAGGATAAAGAAATATTTTCGATATGTCTTGAAAACAATTAACGGTAATAAGTAAATACAATTAATTTCTGCAGATATCATCCAACGATAGAAGTGACTGATTCTAAGAATATTACAAACGATACAACAACCAGATCTAGTCGCGTGTTTACTGATGCTACAACTGCATCTGTTTTTGATAGTGATTATTCGTCGGGAAATACAACTTTAATACAAAATATTTTTACAACGGAACCCGTAGAACCGCCGATTACTTCCTCGATTGCAGAAGGAGAATTGTCATCCACATTAACGTCAACATCAACGTCAACATCAACATCAACATCAACATCAACATCAACGTCAACATCAACGCCAACGTCCGTTATTACTCCTAGGAGTTCAACAACTCAATTTCTGCAACACAGCACTACTATAAGTACCACTGTAAATACAACTGAAACTACAGTCAGTCTTGATCTTGAAAATAGTACATTACATACAAAATACGATCAAGTTCCCATTGCGACGGAACAATCATCAACTAGTAGTGAATGCAATGATAATTCTTGTACAACTGGGACCACTATACCATCTGCGCGCAACGTATCGGAAGTAAGTATTCAATGTTATAAGAAGAATTGTTTTATTTTATAATTGTCATACTTAAAAATCGTATGCACTTATAGTGCAATTGTACAGAACGGGAGGAAGAATGCAAAAGTATTAAAAGCGCAGCTTTTAATGGAAAGTCTTACGCAAGACAGAGTATTAATATTAACGTTAATAATGATACTATGAGTCTTCGAATTTATGTTAAACTTAGAACTCGTTTTAAGAATGGTATAATATTTCATGTATATTTTGACGATGAACGTTATGCTTTAATATATTTAGAAAGTAGTATATTGAAATTTCAATTCTCGTGTGGTTTGGAAACGATGTTACTTGGCGAAATTGATTCCGCCATTAATAATGGATTTGAAGCGGAAATCGATATGAGGTAGAATTTTATCGATTTATTTTTACACTTATATAAACAAACAAAAACATAAACGCTAAGTATCGGTATTTTCTTTTAGATTTGAATACTATATTATGAATAAAAGTGATAAATGTTCTGCTAAGTTATTAGTAAATGGTACTACAGCCGTAAGTGGTGAACAAATGTTATCATTCCGAGAACATTTTCCACATCGTGCTACTTTGAATTTAGGTGGCATACCATTGGCCTTTTCTCACTACTTTCCACGTGTAGCTATGGGATTTATCGGTTGCATGAACTCATTGATGGTATTATAGATAAATATACGATTATATTTATTATTCATATAAAACGACAAATACACTTTTTTTAAACACTTTCATTGCTAAATACTTGCGTGTGTTCTATATTAATAAATTAAAGATTTTATTATAATTAAAGGTAAATGGCCTCCAAAGAAATTTTATTCATGATTCTACAGAGACATTTCAAATTGAAGAATGTACATCATTTTTTTGCTTATCAAATCCATGTCAAAACTTCGGAGCATGTGAAGAAAACAATGGTGCTATTCGTTGTCATTGCGTTGCAGGGTAAGTATAGTTTAAGTTTGTAAATTTTCATAATTTTTATGTTTAAACATCAAATCATTAAATTTACATATGTAATCCAATAGTTATACAGGAACATTATGCGAACGTTCCATATGCGACGAGAATCCTTGTTCACTAGGGGCAACCTGTATAAGTTCACCGGGAACTGGTTTTATTTGCATTTGTCCTCTTGGAACTCATGGACTTTTTTGTGAAGAAGGTGATATGAAATATATCTCGAAATTATAATTTAATTTTAATTTATAATTCCATTTCTTATTAAATATTTTTCAGATACTATTGTAATTCGTCCGTCCTTTTCAAGTCTGATACCAGGTTTCTCATCGTATATTGCTTATGGTGTTTCAAATTCAATCAAAGACACTATGGAACTTAAAATGAAACTCATTCCACATACTTTAGACCAAATATCTCTTATAGCTTATTTAGGACAGAGTGGCTCACGCCAAGAAATATCAGATCATCTTTCTATAACGTATGTACGTGGTTATATTATGTTAACGTGGGATCTCGGTTCAGGTAAATCAATATTTACATTTAATAACAGTTTCGGAGCATATGCTCCTATTAGTGCAATTATCATTCATTTGTGTAGTGATATTTATCTAGGCGTACGCAGGATCTTCACAAAAACACCGTTAACTTCTATATCAGCTGTAACTGCACCAGGTATGAAAAGTCATAATCCACATACATTACACATTGGAAGAACAGGTAGAGATGCGTGGCTTGCTGTTGATGATACATACAATGTTACTGGTCAGGCTGCTGGTATTATGTCTCAGCTTGACGTGTCTCCTATACTTTACATTGGTTTGCATCTTATTCTTTATAAAGTCTAATATATATTTTATTTATATTTTCATTATTTTCTAGATCATATTGTTTGACATTTTCCAAGTGTTTTATAGGAGGTCACAAATCAAAAAATTTTGAAATGCTACCGCACGATTTACCTTTACACACTGGTTTTTCTGGTTGCATATTTGATATCGAATTACGTACGAAGGATACAATTTTCCCAGTAACCAGTTCTAGTCCAGCTACTGGACGTGGCGTAGGAGAATGTCATCGTAACGAATGTATTCGTCATTCCTGTAAAAATGGTGCAGTGTGCTTGAACCATGGTTCTACATATAGGTATTTATTACCTTCAGTAAAAAATAATTTCTTTCATTTACCATGAATTACATGATCTGTTTCTTAGTTGTATATGTACGAAGGATTGGACAGGCCCGGATTGTTCTTTACCAGTGGAAAAACGTTTTTCTAGTAATCTATCAGCCTGTCATATATCAAATTAATAAATAATTTCAAAATGTCATAAAGAACTAAACATATTACTACATTCTTCATATTTGTATTAAATTACACGAACCTTGTTGATATATTTTTAATTAAATAATCAATAATTTAATATTCTATTAAAATAGTTAACTATTGAGATGTTTATTTCCTTTGGGTAGTGAAGTGACAAAGTATGAATTTAAATGTACAAATAGGACTGCCGCTGCTACACGAGATTGTAAATCGTATTTACCGAGATCATGAGACCATTCAACGTTTCCCCAGTGTGAAATCTAGAAATTACATGCAATAATAGAAATGTTAAACTGTACATTATTATATTTTACATTTTTAATAATTATTTATATAATACCTGATATTTCTCTTCTAAACGAGATAATTCTACAGCTTCTTCAACACTAATTACTCTTTCAATAGCAGCTAAGGTAAGAATTACTGATTTCAATGCATTAACTGCATATAGAAAACCTATAACATATAACATAACAATTCGAATTATGCTGTCAACATGTTAGAAAATAAATGTGATACTTTACCATGAATAGCATCAAATTCATATGATGATAAATGTCTTGATAATATGGTTTTGGTTTCTATTGGCACAGTAGGTATATCTATACTTTGGGTTTTAACAATATTTACTTGATAATGATCACAAAACCATTGTACTAAAGGATCCCATTTTTCTACTTGCAATTTGTATAGATCATCTATTTCCTATAATAATATATTTCTCAATTAACTCTCACATAATATTATATAAAATAATTAATTTAGATATTGATTGCTTACACTAGAATGAAATAGAATTGTATCTGTTTCTAAACAATTAGTAATATAATTTACTATATCTAATTTTGTTTGATTATTTGGATTATCCAATACGGTATTACATAAAGCTGTCTGAAAAAATAAGAAAAAATATAATCAACATATGAAAGAGTAAAGTTAATTAAATAATATTATAACTTGTAGTATAAACTCACCAAGTGCATATTTTCTTTTTCAATAATATCTTTCTGAGCATCCCATTCTGCTGCCACTGCTAAAGCCAAAGCTTTATTGTTTACTTCAAATATTTTCCCTTTGGGTGTTTTAAGTTTCCTTTGATCCAAAGTTATTTCAAATTTTCCACCACTCGACAAGATGTTTGTCCTTCGATAAAACCTTTTTACAGTTGCTGTATAATAATAACAATGATATTTATATTAAATACATAAGATTATTTGTAAAAAGATAAGTATAGAAAAGTATTACATTAAAATCTTTTCACTCTTACCCATTTTTCTGATTATCATAAAGGCTCCTGTCAATGGACGATATTTAAAGGAACTCATTTTTATAATGAATTACAAATCTTCTTTTTAGTTGTATTCTTTTATATGATATTTAATAAATTACTTTTCACACATATTAATTAAACTTAACTTAAGATAAATGTGTACACCACTTGTATGAATTTTTAATCATAGAATAAATAATTGCAAGTTTGTATTCAATAAAGAAGGAGAGTAAAAAACTTTAAAAAGGGAGCTTAAATAAACAAGAATTTAATTAAAAGTTTTTATTTTCAATATTCAATAATCATAAGATATTACATCAAATTTTAATAATTTGAAATAATTATTTTATTCATGTTTTATTTTTAAATTATAACCATAGATACTATTATTACCATAGGAGGATTATATTTATATATAGATGATAAATATAAGAAAGAATTTCTAAAATAATCTACGTGTGCTGTGGGTGCGCTGATATCGCTTCTAAAAGCGCTACCTAGTGTTGAAAATGTTATTTAAATGAAAAACTTCAAGTTTGAAGTATAAGAGAGTTTGGCTCCCCTGATAAACTGCTATAAGCAGATTAAGGTTCATCTGAAGCGTGTGGTGATATTTTCATGTGACTATTTTTATTACATTTGTATTATTTTCTCATATTAAATGGACTAAATAACAATGCGTAAAACAAAGCTAAGTTCGTTGTTGTTTGTTATTCTATGTGCTGTAATTATACAAGTTAATGCGAACAATGATCACCAATTAACCAAACTTGGTGCAAAAACAGGACCAACATTAAAATTCTTTTATTGGTGAGTGTAGGGACAATAATTGAATAATTAATAGAAATAGCGTGACTATATGATATTATCATATTTATAAATGATTACAATGAACACACATTTGATAATCAAATTTGTCATCAAAGTAATAATATTTATTTTCATTACATTATCTCTACTTCTATATAAAATAATCTGCATGTCATTGTTTATTGATTTAAGATACACTACACGAAATATAACAATATAATAAGCATATAAAAACATGATTTAAATTATTTTGATATTATAAATTTAGATCTACACTTGAGACAAGTTAGTTATTATAAATAATAACTTAATAATTTTAGTTACTCTTGTGGATATAGAAAAGTTTATGAAGAATATGTTGGTATTCTACGACAAAAGTATCCAGACTTACAAATTGATGGAGAAAACTTTAATCCTCCTGGATATAATATGTTAATAGCCAAAATTTTGGTAAATATATTATTTCCTTTATCTTTCATTGTATATATTTCATATAAACACATATTGTAATTTGTCATTTTATTTAGGGAACAGCGAAAATTTTGATTATACTTTTAATCATTAGTGGAATTAATATATTTCAACGATTGGGTCAGCCAGAACCATCATTATGGCGATGGTGCATTGATAATCGCTTTTATGCCTGTGTAATGATATTTTTTATTTGTAATGCTATAGAAGGTCAGCTTATTTCATCAGGTGCATTTGAAATACATTTTAATGGTATGTTTGCATGTATAATTTATTTTTCGTTCATTATATATTATTTATATGTATTATAAATTATAAAAATATGTATACACACACACATATATATATATATATATATATATATATATATATATATATATATATATAAAATGTTACAGATGTTCCTGTGTGGTCAAAACTTGAAACAGGTAGAATACCACAACCACCAGAATTATTCCAGATAATTGAAACTCATTTGCATATGCAATTTCCAGATATTGATGTTGGAAAGATTGGTTTTAATAAGTAACATTGTATTACTATAAGTTTATACTGCATTCTTTTAATTATTTACATTATTGGGAATTTGCCTTTGGCAAAATATGATACACTCGAATGATTTCAATTTATTTTTATGTATTAAAATGTTTCGTTATAAATGTCTCCTACTACTAGTACGCTATGTAAGATAGAGAGTAAAAATCTATATAACTATAACATTCTAATTAAATAGTTACCAAAGCGACATTACAATAGGAATTATATTTACTATTTTAATGTAAACATTATATTTCAACATAAATCTTTTAAAAATCGTATTTATATTCGTTCCCTCATTATATTCTTATAATGTTTATATTTGTCAATAGTTCAATTAGAAGTTAAATAAGATTATCATAAGACGTTATTCACAATCCGTTTTTATACTTATTGTTAAGACTGTTTAAACGCAGTCATAGAATGCCCTTTAGATTCATAATCGTGATTTAAGACAATCTTAAAATCGCACCTGGAACATTATCTTAATGTATACAGTCTTTAAATAAGACAAACTAATATAACATATTATAATGCAAATAAGATTATCTTTGCTTTGTCACCTGAGTTCTGAAGGTGATCTTATTTGAAATTGTAATAAAAATCTTTGGACCGTTAGAAAAAGTAAGCCTATTCAAAAGGTCAAAAATGATACATTCTTTAGATACAACTTTGGTGTGTATAGACTACAGCAAATAAAAGAACGAAGTACATGTTAAAAATTTAAACTTATATGAATAGAAAATCATTTTCAATAGATCTGAATCATAGTAAAGAATAGATATAGTTCTAAGAATCATTCTTTAATGTAGAACGCATAAGAATATTTTCAATTTCTCAAGTCCTCTACAAATGTATCGGCATACAATTAAAAAAAAAGGAAACGTATACAAATAAAAAACAAAAAACACTATTAAATCAAAACTTTTACAACATATACGAAATCTATTTAATTTATCAACTTATGAAACGTACTCCCATGATTAGTTAAACAATCTATAAATATATATTCTATTACTATTACTAAAAGAAAATCCCGCCATAAAATACAATTATCGGGAATCCCCGCAATCATTAAAAACAATTTACCCGAATATTCCACTATTTTTATTTTCGATTCTATCCCTTCATTTCCCAGAAAAACCTCCCCATTTAGATGATAAACTTAGGTTTAACCTTTCCAATTTCCTATCCACATACTTCAGATTAACAATCGAATTACTCCGATCAAAACAGCTGAAAGTTCTTGCGTGATGAACATGTTTTTAATTAAAGTAGTTGGTGATTCATGGATTTATGCAACTATACTACTGCAATTATCTTAACCAATAGCGTGCTACTACTGCTGCAAGAAATTTGATAAAAATTAGTATCTCTCTAATTCTATTGGTTATTTCAATAAAATTATTTTGAAAATTCCCTAACGTAAATACTAATTACAACCTTTATAAAAGTAATTTTATATGAAACAAAACAATTTTTGAAAATAACATTCATATAGAACATCTTAAGCATAAACTATTAATTTTTAATATCTTAATATTCATTTATTTTAAGATTTAAAAACAATAGTTAAAGAAGCATTATGATTGGTGTAAATAAGGACCAATCCTCGCGCGAAGAATCTTTAATTTTATTGTAAACGCATCTTAATGATAAGGTATCATGGCATATATACTTTCGTATATAAATGTTAGAATGTAAGAATATATGAAATCATTATGAAAAATAAATAAATAATATAATATTATTTCTCGTAAAGAAGTTATGAGAATTCTAATAGAAATATTATTACGCCTATCTTTTATTATCTCTATGTATATACTTAATAGAAGCTACGTATTATTAATATTTTTTTAATAACGTAAGATCATCCTCATCTTACTACATCTTTTGTGTTATGTGTAAAAAATCTAATGAAATCGATAATTTTGTTTATAAATTCATATAATTGACGTGGCCAATATTCGTAAGTTTCAAATGAACGTACTGCACATCCAAGTTGCGCACAGGATTCTACTTCTGAATCTGATCCAATCGAACTAAACCTAACCTCTCAACGTGAACTAAACGCTTTATAACTCATCGATGGTTAATAGATACGATCAAATAGTAAAGATAAATCTTAAAACAACGATACATATATTAATGTTTAATAAATAATATTAATATAAGAAAGATTGTATGCATCGAGAATGTCACTGCATCACTTCTTTTCTGTTCACTATTATTAATGGGACACTAAATTTTCTCTGATGCTGTTATTATTCATTGTATTATTATCATGGCGGGAGTCTGTCTGTACGATTCTACTATTTGTCGGCTATGTGCAGAAGATAATGGCAATGGAGAATTATTGTATAAGGACGAGAGTGATGATTCCAATTTAAGTTCTATGGTGAATCGCTATTTACCATTAAAGGTACGAATGATTTTTTTAAATATACTCAAATATTAGACTACAACTTGACTTCCTACTGCTCACTAAATGATCCATATGGGGGCTCCACTGGTTTTCGTTAGACAAGTTTATCGACTACTACACAGATCAAATATTCAATATCCTCCTTGATAATCTATTATTATTAAGTGACCATTAAAAAAATTCATCTTTATCGATATAAAAATAGTGACACTTAAAAATGTATACATGTTGCTTTTTTTTTACTATTTACACTTTCACACTTATTTTTTTATTATTGGTTAAAAAACTTTTATTTAATAAACTCATGTTTATTTTATTATATCTACTTCTTCCTCATTTAATGAACTGCTATTATCGTTCTCATAAATTTATAACATAATATTTTATGAATACATTAAGGATCTAAAAAGCATAGTAAGTTATCTCTAGCAGTTTTATTATGTTATGTTAAATTGTTGGTTTGAAAATTATACTTTTATTATTTTGTTTTTTGAAAAAAAAAAACAAATATTAAAACTAGTAAGATATAAAACCATATTAAAAATTCATTGATTCTTATTTACTAAATTAATGGATGCATATGTAGTTTAATGTTATGTTGTGAGATAGTAAAATGAATATATTTAATAATTTTTCTATATATTTCAATAACTTTTTAAATCTTTTTAGATTCGAGATGATGGGAAATTACCTAGAACAATTTGTCCTGGCTGTAATATTCAGCTGGAGTCTACTGTACAATTTTTTGAATTGTTGGTGGATGGGCAGCGAAAAATACGAGAAATGTGGAAACAACAAGTCGAAGAGCAAAGAAAAGCAGAAAGAGAACGTATACGTGTTGAAAAACAAAGTTCGGAAGTTGGAACAGGTTTGCCAGATTCGGATAACGACATAAGAAATAATGAAGATAATCAATTAGAAAAACAAATAATCATTAAAGGTAATATAATATATTTTAATCTAAAAACAATATTTGTAATAAAAATAATAATAATTATATATAAACTTTCAGTAATGTCTGATGGTTCTTTATATACCACTGAACATGAAATGAGTTTGCAAATGGAAGGTTTAAGTAAACCAAGACGAAAAAGAGGCCGTCCTCCTAAAGTACATAATGATATGGAATCTTCTAAGGTTTGTAATAAGAGTAATGTATTTAAATATATTTCTATTTTATTACAACTTTATTCATTTTCTAGATAATTATAAAAGAAGACATTGCGGAAGGAGTAAGTCAAGAAGAGGAAGATAAACAAGAAGAAGATCTTGAAGAAATAGATGGTGATGGTAGACGTCGTAGAAAGCGTAAAGTTCCTAAAAGGTAAAGGAAGATTTAAATATTCCTGACATATATTTTGCATCAAATTTTAACATATTATAATAGTTAAAAATAACAAATAGGTTTATGGAAGCTGTTCAAGGCAAAGAATTAGAAAGAATATTTAAGGAAGAAGGTGTTATAGATGAGGAAGAGGATGAAGAACTCGATCACATCGAAGATTCTGAAGAACGAATAAATGTAACAATTCCAGATGGTCAAGAAGGTTAATTATCGCAAATTTTTAATATTATGAATTCTTATAATATAGTAAAATTAATTTAAAAAATGTTTTTTTTTTTTTTTTTAGAGATAATCGGACATTTAGAAACTGAAGAAGGAAAGGATTTAGGTGAATTAGTAATTGTAAATCGTGGAAGAGGTCGTGGTAGACCGAAATTGCGCCGTAGAAAAAGCAAATTTACTTGCCCATATTGTAGTAGAGGTTTTCTTCAACGTAGTAGATATATTGTACACAAGTTGGTATTGTTATTTATTTTTATAAGTAAATAATTAGTTTTATTATGTTATTCATTAAATGTTTACAAATTGCAGAAGTTTTCATAAAAGTTTAAAATACGAATGTAGAGAATGTAAAAAGTTATTTACAAACAAAGATAATTTTGCATTGCATCAAAAGATGAGCCAACATACGGGATGCAGTATTACAGAAATTAACGATGAACATGATATTAATTATCAGAAATCAGTAACTGAAAATACAAATTCAATATTAAATAATACATCGCTACATGAAACCAAGGATTTAGGAATTACATTGATGAATAATCAAAATCTGGACGAAGTCACGGAGAATTCAGACAATAATGTAATTAATAATTCAGATAAAAAAATTTTATGTGAACAGTGCGAAAAAACATTTCAAACGAAAGAATCATATGACTTACATGTCAAAATAGTTCATGAAAACGAAAAACCATTTGTATGTAACATTTGTAATAAAACGTTTACATCTGAAACCAATTTAAAAGGACATTTGTTAACTCACGAGGTAAGTTTTATATATAAACAACAAAAATATTTATATAAATATATAATTTTAGAAAAAAGTCAATTGTAAACTATACATTAGTCTCCAGAAATATTTAAAGGAAACAACAATAATATTAATATTTTTTTCTAAAGGGAAATAAATCAGATAAAGGATATCCTTGTGATATTTGTGGAAAAGTATTAAATCATCCAAGCTCTGTTGTATATCATAAAGAAGCTGAACATAATAATGGTCGTCGTTTTGTATGTAATAAATGTGGAAAGAGTTTCAAACATAGGCAGTTATTACATCGTCACCAACTTGTACATTCTGAAGATCGACCTTTTATGTGTAAATCGTGTAATGCTAGCTTTAAAACAAAAGCAAATTTAATTAATCATCAATCTACACATACGGGAGAGAAAAAATATTTTTGTGAATTATGTAGTCAACAGTTTGCTCATAAAACTAGTCTAACTTTACATTACAGGTGATTATACATTAATTGTTAAGATTATTTTATTGCAATAGTAACATTATTTTATTTGTTGTTTTGTTTTAACATAATAATATTCTTTAGGTGGCATACTGGTCATAAGCCATATTCTTGTGAAGTTTGTCATAAAAGTTTCTCGCAGAATGGTAATCTTCAAGAACACATGCGTATACATACTGGAGAAAAACCATATTGCTGTGATCATTGTGGACGTAAATTTACAACTTCATCACAATTTAAGTTACACGTTAAACGTCATACTGGTGAACGTCCATGGAAGTGCGAGTTTTGTGCCAAATGTTTCCTACATAAAGACACATGGAAGTGTCATGTACGTAGACACAAGGGAGAAAGACCTTTTCAATGTTCACATTGTAATCGTGGATTTACAGAACAATGGGCCTTAAAAAAGCATCTTCGATTACACACAGGTACAAATCTATATAAATAATAAATGTGTATTATTAATTTATGGTACTTTATAATATTTTGAGTTACACTATCTACTATTTTTGTATTTTATATTAATTTATTGTATAGGTGAAAAACCGTATTCTTGTGAAATTTGTGGAAAAGCTTTCGCTGATTGTTCTAACTTAACGAAACATAAAAAGGTAATTTATAATCTTAAGCAATAATTATATATAATTTGTGAAACTGTAATATATATATACATATATTTTTTTATACTATTTGCTCTACGTAGGTGCATAGAGAAAGCAAAGTTTTAGCATTAGGTGGGATACATGATGCTTCCGAAATTAGTGAAGTATGGCAGATCTTACCAAATTCTCGAGAAACAGATGAAAATTCATTAAGTGATCAAATGGCTCAAGTCATTACGACCGAAGAAGCATCTGCAGATGGATTACAACAAATTATTTATGTTTCTTATCAAGATCCTAATGATCCTAATCTATCCAGAACATTACATTTGGGTATTTTTACAAATTATTTATACTATTGGACGATAAAAATAAATATAAAGATATATTTATATAATTATTTGAAAGAAAAAATAACAAACTATAATGTTTAATTTACAGTTGATACTGACATGATGCGTGAAAAGGAAGGAATTGTCAGCACTCAAGGACAATCTTTACCTCATTTAGATGTTGAAAATGAAATAATCACCTGTCACCCACATAATCATACAGCCAATATTTCAAATGGACGAGTAGCCATGGAATTATCAGAACCAGATTTACAATTACAAGTAATATAATATAGTACAAAGAAATAATAAATATATATATATATATATTAATATCAATAAAATAATAATTGAATTTTGTTTTTTCTAGATTACAGATGAAGAAGGAAATCCAATTCCACTTTCTATACAAGATACAAGACAATTATTATCGCAAGGACAATTTGTTAGTCAATTAAATGATGGCCAAACTATCAGAGTTCATTCAGGCGTAATTGCTCAAGAATTTGCTGGATCTTTAGGTGTTCATGTTAATCATAATGGTAATATAGCAGCAATAAATAATACTACAGTCCATGAAGTAAATAAACCAAGCACAATATCAACCATACAAACAGATGCAGAAGCGATTGTCAAAGCATTAGAAGTAAGTTTGTTTACTTGGACTTTTCATATTTACATACATTTTTTCTTTATACATTATTGGATGAAACAAAAACTGATTTTATTTGTTTTAAATTTTATGATATAAATTTGATTATTTAGGACGAAGATACTGATGCAACAGCTGTTGCTACTATAAATCATCAAATGGGAGGAGAAGAGCAGGCAGAAATATCAGATGGACAACATACTATTGAATTTATGACAAGCGATGGACAAAAAGTCCGACTTCTTACTTCGTACCATGTTGACCCATTACATCTTGCTTCAGAGTACCTGACTATTGTATAAAAACAATAATTTATATATTAAAATAATTAAATTAAAAAAAAAAAAAAATACTAATGAACTAATCACATAAATAAACGAATTAGAAGATAAATTTGGTGCTTTATAAAAAAAAATTTAATATTTATTTATATATAAAGTAATTATTTTCCGAAATCTCCATTATTTTTAATGATTTTGGTTAATGTTCCAGGCAACTGATGAATTACTTAATTAAAAAAGACGGTTTTTGATGCAATGAAGCTAATATTGAGGCACCGAATTGACTATTATACATAATACTTAATAAATTACTAAGTATAATAAGTAAATACTTTAAACTTATTACTTATCTTATAAACTGTAGTTATTACATTTAAACAAATAGAAGCAATGAAAAATTGAATTTAATTTTCATTTTATTCTGGTTAGCAGATGTAATAAATGTCAACAAGAATGTAAAAATTAATTTTAAATTATTTCTTTTACATAATTGTTTAAATATAAGTAAAAAAGTATAAATATGCAGTTAAATGAAACGATATTATTACTATTTAGTGCCCAAATTATACTTTTATGGGTAATATAAGATTCATTTATACATATTCAAAACGATAAGATAAATTATAATTCACTCATACATAAGTTTCTTATATTTGTATATAAAAAATGTAGTTCAATGTCGAAATCAAACAATTATTTTAAGTATTCATAGTGTTGAAGATTGCATAAAAATATAAAGATTTTGGTGCTAATATTATCATAATATTGAACATTCAAATGTTATAAGAAAACAGTAATTTATTAATTTATACTATGATATATGTAACAAAAATAAAATATTAAAACACATTTTTTTCACTAATTGCAATTGTAATTTTTGTAGAATAATGTATACAGTTAAAACTAAATCATATTCACTTAATAGTATTATACATAATCTTTAAGTTATATAAAAATTTATTCAAATTTTATTTAATTCATTCAACTACAATGCCAGAGTTTCTCCCTAATGGTGTAGTAAGTGATTACATAGTTTCTCATCAGCTGACAAAGACAAACATGAAGTATAAATCCTAAATTGGCATAATTAATTATACCTATTGTATGGATATATGTTAACATATCTCAAATGCGTAAAAATAATTACATATTACAAAGCAATTGTGAGTATTTCTTTTAAAAAAATAATAGCATAGAATAGGACAAACTTACATGTTTGATACGTATATAAAGAATTCCAATTATGATTACTTATGTGCAAGTAGATTGATCAAATCGAGTATAATCATAATTGACATTGACGTATATACGTTAGCATTATATTATTATATTGCAAATATTTATATGTTTGTAATACACTTAACTAGTTACGTATGCTTATGCTGTTAACATAAAATTTTGGGTATAATCATATTCAATCGTAGGTATAACAGATTGCACGAATTTCAAAAATATTATAAGATACATGTGGACACCAAGCTCCCGGCCACCTTCACTTACTGTCTCTACAATTTTCTTCATTACGACAGCATGCCTACAGAAATATTACAATGAAAAATATAACTCATTTAGATAGAATTTATTAGATAATATTGTTGCGTAAAATCGACACATTGGCGTGTTAAGCATTGATTAGATGATTTGTAATTGATACCTGCACGGATGAACAGAAGCCATCGGTGGTCCAGGCAAATGAGGATGCATTTCCATCGTAACAGTTTTTTTAGCATGGTCTTGACTAACATCTTCATACATTTCTTCTACTGTAAGTGGTTTCCGATTCTACAAAATAATTTATGTAGTCATTTTATTTAACAAATTAGTATATCTTATTTTACATATATACAGAGTATTTCAAAAAGTCAGGAACAAACTTACAGCATGTGTTAATAAAGTCAAGTGGATCAAGAAAATTCATATAAATTTATATTCAAAAATAATTTACTGAAGAATTGAAATTTTAGTGAAAATTTTATAGAGTTAGAATAGATTCCAAAATTATTAGAGAAGTTAAAAGAAATGAAAAAATCAACATGTACCACGCGACTAACCTCATCATAACCACAAAGCCACAATCGAGGTGTTTGATAATATTTATCATAGGTAATGTATAAATCGTAGGTACGAGTATGGATAATTTCACCTTCAGAAAATAATTCCGTTTTTTCTTTTACAGTCTTTTTTGAAGTCTCAGCAGTGAACTATAACATTTTTAAGAAAAATAATATTATCAATTTTGTAATAATTACATAATACATTAATAAAATATTTAACGTGCTTTTTTTCACCTTATCTTGTTCATCAAGCATGCCACTTATTTCAAATGCTTCCATGTCAGCAGCTTCTTCATCATCATCATCTTCATCATCTTCAGGAGAATCAATTTTATCTAATTTTTGAACTAATTGATTTTCATCTATTGTCATTTCTGTTATCCTGTCATCTATACCACCAAAAGTCGTATCATAGTGATGAGTGTCAACCCATCCACCTTCAGGATCATCAGCTTCTATAATACATTCTTGTTCTTTGCTGTATTCAATCTAAATTTAAATGAAAATGTTTATATTTATTCATCAATTAATAACCATATAAATTTATAAAAAATACCTGTTTACATCTGCGTGTACAAGGAACATTGCGAGTAAGCAAAAATTGTTTTTCTTTTGGCAAATATGACTTTGCCCTATCTTCATCACCTGTAGCCCATTGCCAAGTAGGACAATGATGTACAAGATGATCACCAGCAGCTACAAATTCTTCTGGTGTCAAAACACCTGTTTCTCTAAATTTACTTTCCTAAAAAGTAACAAAATTTCAGCTTTTTTATGTTAAGAATAATTATGTAATAGAATCATTGAAATTGTCATAATATATAATAATTAATTTATAATACCGCAAAAATACAAATAGTGTGTGTGTGTGTTTACAAGTGAAAAATATTTGAATTATACCTTTAACACAGGGGTTAAGTATTCTGCTACTCCCAATGCTGTACCTTTTACAGAATTGATAACACTTTGCATTATAGACAAATTCGTGTAATGTCTTATCAACTAATAATACTTGTTTTTTAAATATATATTTATTTAATTTATTATTTACAGAAAATCGCAGTGCATGCCGGTATTTAATAAACAGATCTGTCGATTTTTTATAACAGTTACTGACAATGTACGTAAACAGTTAATGACATGTAGGTTTCCCTTTGCCCTTCGCCCCTGAGCACGATGTTATCGATTCGTAGTACACTTTTCATCTGTACGTGACTTCGCATGGCAGGAATTACAGCTGGCTATTACTCAGAATATTAGGCTGATTTCTAACGAAAATATTCGTAGCATTAGAAATCAGGCATTTTGTTCAATTTCTATTCTCATTGGTTAACTTCGTAAGGAAAATATATTTAACTAAATGCGTACGCGTCTAAAGAAAAATTAATGTTTTTTTCAATTACTTACAATATTGATATAAATTTATATTTAAATTTGATTTAATTTTCAAGAGAATATCCTTACTAATATTGATAATAAAATTTTCATAATATAAAATAAAATGAGAATCTTCCAATGATCTCAACTGTGGTATATTTTGATTGGTCACATAAATAAAATGTAATAAAGCCAATAACACTACCACTACTATTTTGGGATTACTTATAAAAAGTAGATACTTTGTAATTATAAACGAATTAGCCCAAGTTGTGTGATATAGAAAAATAATTTTTTAGTTATTAATATCATATTAGTGAAATAACAAGAGATCCTTTATAAACAAAGTTTATAAACTTACCGACCAGATCTAGTATATGATTTTTAACGTGACACACAAATTGGTCTTTACAACACACATATACATAAACTATTTGCCTTATATATGAACTTCTAAACTAGAAAGTTATAGTATTATACACGACAAGACAAGTTTGCAATCGAATTTGGAATAAGATTGAATGGTAAGATCAGTTTACAATTTATTGCATAATATTTTACTGGTATGACAGGTTATATTACTTCGTTTGAATTTTTGGAACACGGCTAAGCAGGACTTCGTAATCAATTTAAATATCATTTTAATTCGTTTCTCGTAAGATGTTAAATGTTATTTAATAATTCTTCTCATTTTATTATTCGCATGATGCTTTAGTCATTTTATGTCGAACGTTTTTAATTCCATTTCAGACTTTTACTGTTACTTACTTACCTGTGTGTCAATACCTAAAATCATCCTTACGTTCGCCCACCATTTTTAGTATATGTTTATTAATTAGAATAATTATTAAATTCCTATCATTTTAATTATCCACAGCGTCTTCTTCTATTCTTCGCAACATATTTTTCAGTGCTCGGATTAGCTTAAGATTTAGTTTTTAAAAAATAAATATTTTTAGGTTAGATCACCGAAGCTTAATGCTTATGCAGATGGAACATTATTTGTATCATCTATAATATAACTGTACGTTATCATTTTGATAATATTACCAACTACATTTATAAAAAAAAATCTAATGACATCTGAATATCGTACGTAACATAAAAATGTGGACAATTTAATGGTCTACTTAGAAACTATAAATTTTAAAGGTAAAGAGAAACTGTCAGATGATCTCTTAGTTATTTTTTTTTAAGCATACTACAAAATAATTCTGATAACGTTACTTTTCTATTAGATTTATCTTTGTAATATTTTCATTTGTTTTTCCCTAATAGTTATTATTAATTATGCATATTTTTGTGGGCTGTTAATTATTTACAGCTGCAGCTGTTGAAATTTGGATTGTGAAATCCAATTACTTATTTATTTCATGTCTAAAGCTTTTTTGGAAATTTCATGTTATAAATATATATATATATATATAGAGAGAGAGAGAATATATATATATATAAAAGAAAGAGAGATCTAGTATGTTTCATACTTTATTTTTAATTAACTCTTACATATTTTTGTCAGTTCATAATACAGTATTGCATTACAGTATTGTAAGTAACAACTTTATATTTGAGTATAATTTATACAATACACAAATATAATTTCAAAATAATTAGTATTATTTTATATATATTTTATATATACTTTAATTACTTTATTAATTGTAGCATTTGTAATGTAACATTATTCCTATTGTTTGATATTCGTTATATTTTGCATATGTATAATTAATTAAAAACATAGTTGGGGATTATTTTCTTTACAGGATACCTGAAATCTGGAAACTGCATCCTAATTGCTACCTTCCACATTCATGAAAAAGGTTTCAGTTACTATGTCAAAGTCCTTCTTACATTTTATACATGATTAGTAATACCAAAACCACATAACAGTCACTTTTATTTTTCGCACATGACCCACAAGGTGTGCATCTTATAAGAATCATGCCTCTGTTCGGAAAGTCTCAAAAAAGTCCGGCGGAGGTGGTAAAGGCTCTCAAGGAAGCAGTTAATGCATTAGAGCGAGGTGACAAGAAGGTAGAAAAGGTATGTTGCAAATATACATTTCGGTTTCTATGATGATATACGTTCACTTTTAGGCTCAAGAGGATGTCAGCAAAAATCTTGTACACATTAAAAATATGTTATATGGAACAGCTGAAACTGAACCACAGGCAGATATTGTCGTGGCTCAATTGGCACAAGAATTATATAACAGCAATTTATTATTATTGCTTGTGCAAAATCTAAGTCGTATTGACTTTGAGGTATATCTTATTTTAGTATAAAAATTTAAGCATACAGGTTAACCTGTAATTGGTGGTACTAGCGTGTAAGAGATAAATCTACTTAAAGCCTTATATGAATAAATTTTATTTTACACTTTTGACTTATTTTTTCGGGTAGTATCATCCTCTGTTCGCTTGTACCATTAGCGAGCGTACCTACACATCCTGTATATTGTTATTAGAAATTATTTTGTTTACTTTAATAAATGTTTATATAACTTTTGTATTATTTAGGGGAAAAAAGACGTTGCTCAAGTTTTTAATAATATTTTAAGAAGACAAATTGGGACAAGATCTCCAACAGTGGAATATATATGTACCAAACCAGAAATCCTGTTTACTCTTATGTCTGGGTAAATATATTGTTAAATTAAATTCAAGAATAGTTGTATTCTATTAAAAAATATATCATATTATACTTATATTTTATTTCAGTTATGAGCATCAAGACATTGCACTAAACTGTGGCACTATGTTAAGAGAATGTGCAAGATATGAAGCATTGGCGAAAATTATGATATATTCTGATGATTTTTATAATTTCTTTAGATATGTAGAGGTGTCTACATTTGATATAGCATCTGATGCTTTTTCTACATTTAAGGTATATACATTATATGTGCATGTTAAAACAAATATGTATATATTCTTTTCATGTTATAATATCATATTAATCATACCTTTTATGTTATGTATGCTATAGGAATTACTTACAAGGCACAAAATTCTAAGTGCTGAATTTCTAGAAGTTAATTATGATAAAGTTTTCTCCCATTATCAAAGGTTATTGAATTCTGAAAATTATGTAACAAGACGACAAAGTTTGAAGTTATTAGGAGAGCTTTTGCTCGATAGACACAATTTTACAGTATGTATATATATATATATATATTTTAATAGTTATTTAAAATATTATAAATATATTCCTCATGAAGGATTTATTTTTCCATAACAATTATTACAGGTTATGACAAGATATATTTCAAATCCTGATAATTTAAAACTTATGATGAATATGCTTAAAGAAAAATCACGAAACATACAATTTGAAGCATTTCATGTATTTAAGGTATATATCGTCTATTTTATCATATTAATTAATATAACATTATGTTAATTATAAAACAATATTCATATTTCTACAGGTATTTGTTGCTAATCCAAATAAACCAAAACCAATTCTTGATATACTTCTCCGTAATCAAGAAAAGTTGATAGAATTTCTAACGCGCTTCCACACAGATCGTTCGGAAGATGAACAGTTTAATGATGAGAAAGCGTACCTAATAAAACAGATCAAAGAACTTAAGTCTGTACATGAAAATTAAGTCAAAAATACAACTAATGCTACAGCTACTGTTATTATTACAATCAACTCTATTGCTACTACTGCTATTCTACTATTACCACCAATGTCGCTATTGTGGCTATTTATTATTCTAAGACTATATTATTCAATTAGCATCATCATCATCTTCATCATCAACATCAACATCATCAATGTCATCGTCATCTTTAATGTTATTTTTTAGCATCACCACTGCAATTATTATCACTCTTATCACAATTACCATTGTTTCCATCATCATCATTCTTATTGTAATATTATTTTTATTACATTAATGTTGTTATTATTATATTCTATTCTATTATATATTATTATATTATATTATATATTATTAATATTATATTATTATTACTATTGTCGTTTCCACCATGTGATTTTCATCTTCATTATCATAATCTACAAAAATCCATTATCATACATATTTTCATCATCATGATTAACTGTTACTTTTATGATCAGAAGTTCATTATTATCATTGTCATTACTGCTACTACTACTGCTATTATTGCTACTACTACTGTTAGTAATGCTATTACACAATCAGTTAATTTTATTTTCGAATAGTTGTGTAAATAAAATTTACATTTATCACTTATTATTGTATCATATAAAGTTGAGATGATGTTGTAATACTCTATATTTCCATTAATGAGTTGATTATTAAAGTAAATGGTATGGCAGCTATAAGAAATTATTTTTTAATTTTGTTAGCATTCCTTTGACAGATTAATCAAATTTATTAATTATTCTTTGTTGATACTGCAGAAAATACAAATATAGCAAATAAGTTACTTCAAAAACATTTTGACAACTTATTTATCCTCATTGAACAGCACTTATATCAATACCGTATTAATATATCAATATTTATTTATATTTATACATCCATTTTTGTAACAACAAAATATAATTTTGACATATATAAATATATACATGTAGAAGAATTTCTACAGATAATCTCTTACATATATATACATATATATTTATAAATCGTTTTTTGTTTCTAAAAAAATCTATTTAAAAACAACTGATGGCCTATTAATGCTAAACATTTATTTATATGAGAGATAAAAGGAAATTGTATTTCTACATTTATGTCAATAATTAATATATATATATATATATATATAAGATTGGTAAAGTAATTTTTATTTTCAAGTGTTTGTAATAATTAATTTATTCTTAAAATAATAATTTAATATAATGTATAATAAAATAAAATAATAATAATGTAATAATAATTTATTCTTAAAAAAACATGTTATATTTCGTTAAAAAAGTTGAAGTCATGTTATATTTCGTTAAAAAAAAGTTGAAGTCATAGTTTTTTACATTAATAAATTATCAAGAATGATCAGGAAAATATGATGGTATTTGTGAATTAGAGATAAAGATCTCGCTTATTGGTAATCTAGCACTTATTTATATTTTTATTTATATGTATTTTATTTCAAATTGAATATTCTTTTATGTCCAGTTGATCAAGTATTGCTGTTATAGCATACTCAATAGTTGTAAATGTACGATGTTGTTTTTGGAAAAGTGACCAATCAGGTTTACAGCTTGGAAGTAAGTTAGTTTGCTTTCTTAATATTTCTGAGTAGTGTGCATGTTTGACTTTTCCTTTAAAAATTTTTTTACATACAGAATCTAATAACCACATGGACTGTGAGCATGTTGTAAGTGCCTATAAATTGAAGTATTGAATAAATGAAGTAAAACAACAGAATAATATTATAAATTAATGTTTTAACGTTTAAAAAATGTTTTTTACCTTCTTATATTTTTCATCAGTTACAAGTAACCATATAAGTGTTGCTACATATAAAGATAACTCTTCGTGATCCAATTTATCATTTAAAAGCTTCACCGTTGGTAATGCATATTTTGGCTATTATAAGATTTTATATATAACAATGATTAATAATAATTAATAGAATAATCTAATACATGGTAATATCAATGTTAATAATATATAATTAATAATATGTAGTTGTATTATTTAAATATATATATTTAAGAATAATAATTATTTATTCTTACCACGCAGACATAACTCCTTGTTGGTGGAAACTTAACAAATGTAATAAGTATATCTGTTGCTCTTAAACAAACTATTGCCCAAGGTAATGATCTATTACTTTTAAAATATGTTTCATAAACATAATCAACCAAGTTATATTCGCATAAATTAATGCAATCCTTGGGTGATAATCTAGTTATCAGACCTGTATTAAAAATTGATTTTAGTGCTATTGTAATTTAAACTTATATTTTAATAAATATGTTATATATTACTTACTTAATGAAGCAAGACACATTGAAAGCTCGCCAATTGTATTGAATTTTTTAAGTAAATCAATTGACTGTCTACAACGATGCCCTAATGTTTCATGCGGTACTGCTGTTTCTGTTGCTTTTTTTAATCTTTGTCGTACTTTTGACATATGATTAGAATCTTTTTTCCGTATTTGATATCCTTTCCATGCAGCTTGTATAATTGTAGCTGCTAATGTTTCTTGTTTAGTTTTTAAAATAAGAATCCACCATTTTTCAATTATACGAGCTGCACGAAGTCGCTTTTCCCGATACAAGCGTTTTTCACGAATATTTCTATACCATCGTTGAATTTTGATGACTGAAATTATTACACTACGATACATTTGTCGAATGGTAAATTGTGAAAGATCTTGTCCTTCCTCTTTATCTTTAAAACCAATAAATTTACATTTTTTTACAAATAATACTTGCCACCACCAATTTTGAATTGTTTTAGCAGCACAATGATACATTTCTAATTCTTTTCTTTGTGCTCTTGCTACTAATTTAGCTCGCCACTTAATTTGCAACCATATTGTTGCTTTTTTTAAAGCATCATATTCTTGAGCAACTTTCGTGCTAATTTTATTTGCTCTATATCGACGCTGTATGTTAATTGTTACACGTCTCAATAATTTATATTCCGAACAAATTTGATTTCCTTTAATGTACGCTCGCCAATAAACCTGTATCGTTAAAGCCGCTTGTTTCTTAATAAGAAATTTTTTACGTTCAACTCTCATTCTCCAATATGATTGTATAATGATTGTACTTTGTTTCAAACGAACATACCATTGTCTAGTATGACAGCTAATTTTATTAGCTCTAAACAAACGCTGTATATTGATAGTGGCAGATTTTAAAGCACGGAATTCATAACATTCTCTTTTAGCAATTTGTAAAGTTCGCCAACGTTTCTGTATTTTTATTGTATATAATTTTAATTGTTTATATTCTTGTTGTTTTTGTCTCATTATTAATGTAGAACGCCATTTCCTTTGCAACACAGTTGCTGCCATATTCCGTTTTTGTAGTAAATGCATATATTGTTGCTTAGTTTTGATCATTCTCCACCAAGTCTGAATTACCAAACAAGATCTTTTTTTCAATAAATATTGTTCTCTAATTGATCGGGATAGAATTACTGCACGCCACCATTGTTGCAATGACACCGTTGCTTTGTAAAGTTTTAAATAATCATTCCGTTGCTTTCTAGCAATAATAACATTTTTCCACCAACGTTGTATGCATATAACAGCATTTCTCATTCTTAAAATATTTCTGTGAACAATTTTTTGTAATATAATGCACTTATACCATGCTTCTATTTTTACAACTGCTGCTTTTTTTTTCAAATATTCGTTTCTAACTAATGTTTTTCTCCAATTCTTTTGAATAATAATAGCTGCCCTTTGCATAGTTCGATATTTTTGTTGTTGCATGATAGTTATCCACCAGTTTTCAATTGTAATGACAGCATCCTTCATAATCACGAAATTATTTCTTTCATGTCTCATAATTAAAATACTTTTCCACCATAATTCTATTTTATGAACAGCCTTTAATTCTTTGCATTGTTCTCTTTTTATTCTATTATACATTTTTTTAAACCTCCATCTAATTTGAATAAAAACAATACTATTTCTATATCTTAAATAATTCGTACGATCATGTTTCATTAAAAGCGTTGCATGCCAATGTTTTTGAATTACAACACATGCATTTCTCATGTTAATATAAGTCATTCTCTGTACTTTCATTTCTTTTAATGCTCGCCATTGTCTATGTATAACAATCGCAGCTTTTCTTTGATTTTGAAAATCTTTAACGTATAATCTACATTCGTGCATTCGTCTCCACCATCTTTGCAATTTTATTATATTCAATCTAATATATAAAAATCTTTTACGATCGTGAATACCACGTCTCGAATTTCTCCATTTTTCTTGTAAGAATCGAATAGCTTTCTCTTTTCTGTGTAACTCTTTTAAATATTCTTCTTTTAAAATCATCAATTTTCTTTTAGCTAATGTTGTTCTCCATGCTCGCTGTATAATACAAGCTGCATTATATTTATATGTTCGTAGATAATTTCTTACACGAATATACCATAGTTTTGCACGCCACCAGGTTTGTATACATTTTGCAGCTTTATTAAATCTTGGTGCTTGATATTTGTATATAATTTGCCATAATAGCGACAATGTTTTCTCCCTGTGCCCATCAGCAATACTTTTTGTATCAATGTTACCAGTTAAAGCACAGCCGCTTTGTAGAAGCGCTTTTAAAGCAATATCAACATTGTGTATCTTTTGTAAACGTGAAATCGTTGGAACTCTGCATTGACGTGTTAAATTCGATTGTCCACTGATTAATTCCATAACTCTGCAAAGTCTGACGCCATCTCGTAAATCAGTTTGAATATTAGTTACAGCATAATCAAATTCATCTAAATATGTTTGTTTGTATGATACAACATATTCATATGATTTCAAAACCTTAGTAAGATCACCAATACCACTTAAGACTTCTCGTGAAAAAGTTAACAGTATGCTTCTGCTATCTTTAATATTTGCTTTTTTATGAAATAAGCATGGATCGTGGCGAATTAGTTTATTAATCTTAGAATAATCTAAGAAGTAAACTAGAAAAAGAAATTTCTTTATCATAAATTTATTCATTAGAGTAATGAATATCGTATGTTGCTGTTTTCTGTGATAAGCATTTGGATAAGACTTTTTCAAAAAAGGATCAGAAAAGAATCTCGTAATAATAAATCTTGTAAGACCAACTAAATCGTTATTAGAACTTAATGGTATATTTTCACCATAAATGGTTTCTAATCCAATTCTTAACCATAATGGATTATAACTTAAAAACAATTCCAACATTTCCTTTTGCAATCCTAGACAAATAAAAGTAAGAATATGCATTTCATTTAATCAAAAGTTAATAGAAAATAAAGAAATTTAAACAAAGACAATCATATTTAATAACTTACCAATATCTCTATGTAAATCACGATCCGTTCTAATGGTCAAAATTCCTTTTTCTATACAAACAGTTGTACGTGATAACACATGAACTATTTCATGTCTACGGTACATAGCATTTGCAGCTTTTCGTAATGCATTCAAACGTAAATCCGTATGATATCTGATAAATCATTTGTACTAATGAGCATTCTAATTATATAATCATCATATTGTTTGGTTCAAATCATAATTATACAATTATATTATAAAGATAATTTACCTAGCTGAAAGTGCTTCTTTAGTTTCAGCTAAAATCGAATTTTCCATTAGTTTACATGATTGCCATACTTTGCCAATGTCAACACAACTTGATTCCACATCGGTATTCAAGTCTTCGGGGGGAGATAATAATGCATTTAACCATTTTTTAAATATCATCTCTTGATTGTACACCCATTTTTCATCATAATACATAGTACTAATTTAACAAATAATTACATTATTATGTTGTAATTGTCAATACTGAATAAGATTATTCTAAATAATAAAGATTCCGTATATCTTACCTACTAATAAATGGATCCTCTGTAACGCAAGCTGCAAATGGATCAGGATTGCAATATTTAGTAAATAAACTATCCGTGTCTTGAAGTTTATAATTATTCTCTTTAGATTGATCTGATGCTACATTAGGATTTTTTTTTTTAATCACATTTGCCAATGATAGTTTAGAAATTCTAACTTCTGGTATTATTAGGTTTACATTTTCTGTAATTAATATAACAATTAAATATATTCGTATAATATTCAAATAATCATAGATTATTAATAACTTACTTTTAGCGGGAATGTTCGAGTGAACTTTTTTTTTAATAATCCCTTTTTGCGTGAATTTTTCTTTTCCAAGTTGTCCACATTTCTTTGGCGATATCTTACGTGATAACGTCTTAACTGGAAAATATCGTTTAGGAGGTGATATTTCCATACAAACTCCTGATGATTTTTCTGTATCAAAAGTTTGCGTTTTGTTCAATGTTGTATTTTCAAATCTAACATGATTTTCCTGAATAACTGTTTCAAAATCAATATTCCTTCGTATATTCATTTTTGTTTTATGATCGTTATTAGCTTTAACCCATAAGTCTGCTTCTAAAACATCTTTTGCAGTTGCTGAATCTTTATTTCTTGTAGAATAAACTAATATGTAAGGGTTTGAAGTACTTTGAATTGGCGAAGATGAAGGAAGTACTCCGACACAAGGTGTATTAGCCCATTCATTTTGCACAGACCTAATTGGCGACAAATTATTCAGATTTGCAGATAATTTTTGTGATTGACATAATTCAAGATTTTGTAAAAATTGATTTTTTTTATCAAGAGATAAATCTAATGGATTATTAGATATATCATGTAAATTTTGATGACTATTTATTGAAAGTGTGGGACTTAGATTATACGTTCCATTTCCATCAGTTTGTACAGACATTGTTTCTACATAATTGTCTTTACAATTATCAAGAGTGGATGTACCCTTTGTTGAAATTTTCTGTTGATTTGATAAAGTTTCTAATACGTTAGTAGGTTCTAAGGCAAGATTATTTATTAAGATTGAAAATTCAGATGGATTATCTACATTATTAAGAGATAGCGAATCTTCAAATATTTCTTTATTTGTTCTGTCTATGATAGAATGATTTTTGGAACTTACATATGTTTCCTTCACATATGTTTCTCTACGTGTTTCTGTATTTTCTACAATAATGGAAGGAATACTTGGCATCTTATTTAACAATTCGTTTTTGTTATTGGATAGCTTTTTATCTGTATTTACAACAGTTAAATTAAAAGCACTAGAATCAATAAAATTTAAAAAATCATCAGAACTTTTCATTGGAAAAACATGATCACATCCATCTTGAGAAGATATTGTTGTATGTTTATAATTCAAATTTGTAATATTTTCTTTATTTTGATCATTCTGTAATCTTGATACATCCTTTTTTATTTGYTTATCAAAGCTTGAATAACTTTCTTGGTATGTAGTTTCATTATTTTTTAATATTTTTCTATCATCGCATTGCCTTCTATTTCTATTTGTTTGTTGTCCCAGAGGTACCGAAGGTTTATTACACTTTGTTGGTGGATTTGTAGCAGTAGTTATAATTGCTACATCATATTTATTTCGTCGACTATCCGTAAATTGTAACACATCTCGCCAACAACCAACTTTTTTAGGAGACCATTTAATGGATACTATTGTATTACTATTACTTAAAATTGTTGCACGAGATATATCTAAATCTATGTGTCGATCTTCTTCAGGCTTTTTTGTAACTGTTATCTGAGATATAAGGAATAGTTATTGTATATATATATATAATCTTATTTATATAGTATTTATATACTTACATTTACTACCCTGTTACTTGTATTTTTAATAGTCAAATAACTTTGTACAGTTGTGTTTATAAATGCTTCCATTGTTATCCTCGTTTGAGGTTGAAATGGCCCCAGTACCAAAGTAAAATGTAAGTCATTATTAGTATTGCTGTGAATGGACTTAATCTTCTTTTCATTTTTTGGAGTAACATTAATCTGTTATCAAAATATTCAGTTATATTTCATACGTCAAATTTATCATTAATCCTTAATTAGTGAATACTTTTACAATAGTCAAAAACTTTAATAAATATTAATAATAATTAACAATAAAAGTAGAATATTTAAATTTTTTACATTAAAATTATATTGAAATATTTAAACAATAATTTTTTTTTTAAATACATTCTTATTACAAATATATAAATAACATTTAAAAAAATTGTTTTTTATTTGCCATGACCCATGAATATTACTGATTTACGAATTAAGGGTTAGTCATTTATCTAATAAATTTAAAAAGAAGCACACATAAATATAAATAAAATATAACGTGTTCTCACCTGAAAAAACATTTTTCTTCGATTTAAAAGTAAATAATTTCTTTAATTAATAATAACGAGCATCTCACAATCACCGACGGTTTTAACGATACTTCGAATTATTTGAATTTAACTGCTTTTTCTAAGTGTTCCTAAAAACAACCTGTGGCGTCTCGCACCAGCACGGTGCTGACACCTCTCGGCCGACAGCGCACAGCTGAAACATATGAGATAATAGGTCAGATACCGAACTCAATATATAACATAAAAACAGGAAAAAAGAGAAATACAGATTTATTCCATATAACAAAGCTCATACTAATCACCGATGAAACAGAAGACACA